CTGGATGAAACGACGTATCTGGATCCGTTCCAGTCGGGCTTCAGGCCCGGGTACAGCACGGAAACGGCATTGGTCGCGTTGGTTGATGATCTCTGGAGGGCTCGGGACAGGGGGTGCTCCTCTGTCCTGGTCCTGTTAGATCTCTCAGCGGCTTTTGATACCATCGACCATGGTATCATGCTGCATGGGTTGGAAGAGTTAGGGGTGAGAGGCACTGTGTTGCAGTGGTTCTCCTCCTTTCTCTCTGACCGGTCACAGTCTGTGTTGACAGGGGGACAGAGGTCAACCCCGAGGCCCCTCATATGTGGGGTGCCGCAAGGGTCGGTCCTCTCGCCTCTCCTGTTCAACATTTATGTGAAGCCGCTGGGCGAGATCATCCGTGGTTTCGGGGTGGAGTACCATCAGTACGCTGATGACACCCAGCTGTACATCTCCACCCCGGATCACCCCAACGATGCCCTTGAAGTGATGTCCCGGTGCCTGGAGGCTGTACGGATCTGGATGGGGAGGAACAGGCTCAGGCTCAACCCATCCAAGACCGAGTGGCTGTGGTTTCCGACGTCCCGATATAGTCAGTTGATGCCATCACTGACTATTGGGGGCGAATCATTGGCCCCCACGGAGAGGGCTTGCAACTTGGGCGTCCTCCTGGATTCACGGCTGTCTTTAGAAGAGCACTTGACGGCCGTGACCGGGAGGATTTTTCATCAGGTTCGTCTGATTCGCCAGTTGCGTCCCTTTCTGGATCGGGACTCGTTACGCACGGTCACTCATGCCCTCGTCACCTCCTGCCTGGAATATTGTAATGCTCTCTACATGGGGCTCCCCTTGAGGAGCACCCAGAGGCTCCAACTGGCGCAGAGTGCGGCCGTGCGGGTGGTAATGGGAGCGACATGGCGCTCCCATGTGACACCTCTCCTGCGCGAGCTGCACTGGCTCCCGGTGGTCTTCCGGGTGTGCTTCAAGGTTTTGGTTACCACCTTTAAAGCGCTCCATGGCTTAGGACCTGGTTATCTACGGGACCGCCTACTACCACCAATAGCCTCCCACCGGCCAGTACGCTCTCATAGAGAGGGACTCCTCCGGGTGCTGTCAGCCAAACAATGTCGGCTGGCGACCCCTAGGGGGAGAGCCTTCTCTGTGGGGGCACCTACCATCTGGAATGAGCTCCCCCAGAGATACGGAGGATCCCGGATCTGCGCACCTTCCGCCGCGCTGTGAAGACCTTTTTATTCCATCAGGCGGGCTTGGCCTAATCTCTTCCCTTTTTAAACATGTAAATTTTAATCTGTTTTTAAATTATTGGGGTGTTTTAAATTTGTCTGGGCCAAAATGATTTAATTTGATTTTATCTGGTTTTTTAAATTTTTTGTATCTATGTTATTTTATTGTTTGGCTGTTCACCGCCCTGAGTCCTTCGGGAGTAGGGCGGTATACAAATCAAATAAAACAAAACAAACATAAAACATATTGGGGATGAGATCTTACCCCCCTCAGAGACGGCTCGCAACTTGGGCGTTCTCCTGGACTCACGGTTGTCATTGGATGATCATATGATGGCCGTAGCCAGGGGGGCCTTTTATCAGGTTCGCTTGATTTCCCAGTTGCATCCCTTTCTGGATCGGGATGCCTTGCGCACAGTCACCCACGCCCTCGTCACTTCCCGTCTGGACTATTGCAATGTTCTCTACATGGGGCTCCCCTTGAGAAGCACCCGGAGGCTCCAACTGGTCCAGAATGCGGCCGTGCGAGTGATTATGGGGGCGACCCGTCACTCCCATGTAACACCTCTCTTGCGTGAGCTGCACTGGCTCCCGGTGGTCTTCCAGGTGCATTTCAAGGTGTTGGTTACCACCTTTAAAGTGCTCCATGGCTTAGAGCATGGATACTTACAGGACTGCCTGCTGCTACTGACAGCCTCCCACCGACCGATACGCTCCCACAGGGAGGGCCTCCTCAGGGTGCCATCAGCCAGAAAATGTCAACTGGCGAGTCCCAGGGGGAGAGCCTTCTCTGTGGGGGCTCCTGCCCTATGGAACGAATTGCCCCCGGACATACGAAGGATCCCCAACCTCCGTGCCTTCCGTCGTGCGCTGAAGACCCTGTTATTCCAACAAGCCGGTCTGATGGGACAATAATTTTAATCGGGTTTTAAATATGGGTTTTTAATATGGTTTTATAAGGGTTTTAGAATGGGAATTTTAAATTCGGCCAAAATTGAATTATTTTAATATGGTTTTTAAATTTGTCTTGTATATTGTTTTATTATGGCTGTTCACCGTCCTGAGTCCTTTGGGAGAAGGGTGGTATAGAAATATAATAAAATAAATAAATAAATAAATAAACTAACTAACTAACAAAACTTTGAAGGCTCCTTAGCTGCAATCTCTTTGGAATAAAAAGTTGAATTAGGAATATTAAAAGCTTTTTCTGTGTGTGCACGCAGGCACACACATATGTACTTTTATCCTGTCCTTTACTTTTTATATTAGGACTGACTAGAAGCAAGTGGATGGTTCAAAACTTTACAATTCATTAGCTTTAGATTTTGTAGCATTGAGATTTGACCATTTTCTTGTCTCTGCCTTATGTAATATCCATACATTAAGATATTCTGAATTTTTCATACTCCATTTTTCAGTCAAGTGTTATTGTATGCTATTCATCTAGTACTTCATAGCACAAATATGAATTATTATAGTTAGGCTTTGGTTGTTCTTTCACGCATAAATGATTCTATAAATTATTTAAGCTTTTAAAGAAATAAAGAATAGGACTGTGCAGCACTTTAGAAATAATATGGAAAGTCTGTTTTAGAGCACACTGCAGTATGATTACGTCCATCTGCAACTTTTTAAATTTTGATTTTAAGTAGATGTGATTTTTGAAAATTATTTTTCCATATTTTAGGAGATTTTTTACTCTCACCTATTCCATGATACTTTTGTAGGGCAAATACTTCTATAAGGCAATCTGGCCTAATATAAAGAGGTAGGTGCTGATACCTCCACCAGTAATTTTATAAATGTTGGGAATCTGTGGGAACCATAAACGTTTAGGGAAATTAAAAAGAAATTGAGTAATCTCCCCAAATGCTCATTTTCATCTCTTGGGAGAGGAAGTTAAGAAAGGCAAGTTGATGGATATGGAAGTACAATCAAAGCACCATTCCTTTTCTTTGTGGATCATATCACATGCTCATAGAAAAGAACAGTGCTTCCATCACACTGATGCAAATGACTTTTTTGACCTTCAGTCGCTGTGCATGCTGGTGTTGCCACTGGTTTTCACTGCACATGTGTATTTGTTATTATATTAGTGGTCACTGATTGTGCTATTCTCTACACTTTTAAAATTTCTTTTTAAAGTGAAGTAACAAAAGGGGTGTGAACATAAATTTGAGCAATACCTTCCATTAATTATGTGTTGTATGAATACACATTTTTAATGTTTTGAGACTGTACTGTAAAATATATCATTGGAAAACTTGTTTGATTGGCTACTCAGCAATCCAAAAGAAAAAAAAAATCATTGGGAGCATATGTGGACATCCCCATTGTACTTGTTGGCAACATCTTAAGGAAACCATATATTTTCCTGCATTTGGTTTAAGATGGTGCCAACAGATGCTATATATCGGCCCAGATAATTTTTTTCCTTTTCAAATCTCCTCACTGCACATCTTTTGGAATTTTCCTTCACTCTATTTGACATGTTATATATCTGTACTTTTATCTTTATGCTAAATCTATCAAAAGGGTACCTTTTTCAGAAATGCCCATTCTATATTATGGCATGATATGATGTGATGATAGATATGATGTTATTATATCCCTTGGGTTCAAAGAAAACATTTTGTTGTGCTGTTCATTTGTTGACAGGGAGACAGAGTCCCTGTTTGGAAGCACAGAGTCTAGCACAATGGGGGCAATTGCTCTGTACTAAGTGTGGATATTATTTTGTGACACTGCTCATGGTTTTCTGTCAGTTTTTGATGGCACCCATAGCACAAGGTTTATCAGCAGGTTCTGTCAGCAGCACAGCTTCTAATTTCTTGGCTGGATGTCACAGTGGCACAGGGTTTCTTTCTCAGTGTCTTTTTAGAGCTTGCATGATCGACCTCAAAGTGTCTTCACAGATTCCCGTATACTGTGGAACAATTGGCAAGGCTTATGGAACATCCATTCTGATGACATGTCCCAGTCATCTTATCAGGGCTTTGATAATGAGGTGGACTGCACACAATCCAGAACCTCCAGGTTGGAGACACAGTCTTGCCAACAAATTCCAAAGATGGAGCAGAGAGCATACCTGTGAAAATTTATTTGTTGTTTGATGTAGAGTTGAGAATTCACATCCATTTAGAAAGGAAGGGATATTCACAGCTCTGTATATTTTACCTTTGTGGTAATATGAATGTTGTGTTGAGTGCTCACTCTATATGTAGCCATCCCCGTCCTTGGTTGGCTTTACTGATCCTGTAATCAATTTTGTTGCCCAAAGACCCATCACTCATGATGATACTTCCCAAGTATTTGAAGTTGTTTATATTTGTCAGCTGGGTGGTGTCAACAGTGGTTCTACAGGCTTGGTATTTGGCACTGGCTGGTAAAGTACTTCAGTTTTGTTCAATCTGATAGTCAAGCTGAAAAGCATAGCAGCTTCTGAGAACTTGTTCAGTTATCAACCATAGATCACTATATTTGTACACTACAAGCACACAGTCATCATCAGGAAGGTTTCTTGAATTGCTGTATGGAGGCACTTCATTTGCACATTCAAGTGGCGAAGGTCAAAGAGCAAGCCATCCACTGGTTACCTGAAATGCCAAGTCCCTCTAAGACCCCCATTATTACTTTTGTCTAATAAATATCCACTCACTCCCCAAGTCTGCAATTCCTTGGAAAAGTTGAAATTTTTTTGTAAACAAAAAATTAGCTTGTGAAACATCCTTCAGATTGTATAAATGTAAATGATTTTTCTCCCTATTTTCCTCCAAGATTTATTGACCAGAACAAGATGAACTGGAACAACATTTTGACTGGATTTCTACAGTTAAGTAAGTTGAAACATTTTATCTTTGCTTCTCATTTGTAGGATGGATTCCTTTTTAAATTGCAGATGCCAGAATCTGTGCAAATGTTAAAACTAGTGATTAAGTTCAAATATATTTTATGAGTTTATAATTCTACTAACAGTTAAAACAAAACAATCATACTTATTGCCAGAGTATTTATTCCTATTCCACTGCAGAAACTGTGTCATTAGAAGATGTGTTTGACACATCTGTAATGTAATTCCACCCCTAATTACAGTATAATATCATATATGATTTCTTGTTATAGATAATTTTCTGTATAAATGTATACTGTGGGTTAGATCCAGCTTCTTCTTTACCAACTAGACTTTTTCCTGAATATAATATAATGGTAAAGACATGATTTTGCTAATTTTTCCTACCCCAAGTTCCTCAATTCTCCGGAACAGTTTTAGGAGTAGGAGTAATTTTAAACTGAAAGTCAGTTTAATGTAATGCTTAAGACACTAGGCTAGAAACCAGGATGCTATCAGTTCTAGTTCCACCTAAGCACAAAACCAACTGAGTGACCTTGGGCCAGTTCCTCTGTCTCAGGCCTACAAAGGAGGTAATGGCAAATCACTTCAAAAAAAAAGAAAAGAAAAGAAAGAAAAAAGAAAAAAAAACTTTGCCAAGAAAATGGCAGGGATTAGCCCAGGTAGTCACCAGGAGTCAACAGTGAGTTGAAGGTACCAAATAAATAAATATATAAAAATTTTACAGTGGACTAGAAGCATGCAGTCCCCAAATTAAGAATGTCCGATTTATGGATAACTCGTACTTACAAATGGAAAACTCCCTCCTCATATTGAAGCACAATATTTTCATGAACTGCTGAAGCTGCAAATTTTTAATATACAGCCTATTTTCAGTGATTCATGAAACGAAAAACACCATCCACCATTTTTAATAATAGGCAATCAATTCATATACATAATTTTGAGTTAAGGACAGACAGGGATGGATCTCACTCTTAACCCAGAGATTTTCCGTAAGCTCTGTTTACGGCAGGCAGGATCTGCACCTTGTACAATACTAAAAGAATGTTAGAATGACACATTAAGCCATTCTGAATAGTTATTAGGATTATACCAGCTCATCTTACTAAAATGGTTATAGATTTCCACAGATTTCAGTTTATTTAAGCCACCAAAGGTAGTTTAAGAATTGCAACAGATAAGAAACTGTGTGACAATTATTTCACTATTTGTATATATATTTGTCTTTCAAAACATTTTTGATATTAAAAATTGCTGCAATTAAATTCTATTGATTAATGTAACATATAATATATATCAATTAAATATATATAAATTTATGAGTATATCTAAGCTTTCCTTTACTAACAATAGAAATTTAGGTATTCCTTATTTAAAATAGTCAAACTATTCTTTTTTTTTCTCTTTAGATTTCTTTCAAATGGTCATTTCTCATTGCATGGTATATCAGATTCCTACAGAGAGCTTTGAAATGCCCTGTATACCACCTAGAATGGCAGAGGATGGTCCCGCTTGGCAGGATGTGCATGGTACCATTGGAGAAAATGCTACCGTACTGGTGGCTGGAGAGAATTTCTTATGTTGCCACTGGAGTGATACATATATGAATTGTTTTGCGTACACTGCAGAAATGGAAGCCAAAGCACTTATTTCTTCAAGAATTGTTGGTTCAACACTTCAGCAGATAGGTGTGCTTGGAAAATGTGCTTTTAGTTATTATTGAGATTATTTTAAATAGTTATAGCTGCTACACAATGAAAATATAAGCAAAGAATATACAGTAGATAAATCAAACTGTATGCAGTAAAATAGATCATGAATAAAACAGTGACCAAATTAAAACAAATTACAAAGCTTTTTTAAAAAAATTCTTTTCAGCAACAGAATTTTGACTGCTGCTTGAATGGAGTTAAAGTCAGTGTCAATTGACTTTACCTATTGCCTATAGGTATTATTGAAGGCATAAAAATATATGCCAGTAGTAGTTGTATGGAGTTATCCATGAGATGGCGGAGAAGTGGGGGATGATAAAATATGACTTAATGACACAAACTCCACCATTTTTGTATTTTCAAAAATGATTTGATATAATTTATTTTTTTACATTTATAGGACCATCAATGAGGGCATGATAAATTATTGTCAAGAGTTCAGGGTTACAAGGATGTTTTTTATTTTTTTAAAAATGTTTAACTTTGTATTTAGATTCAATTTGGAATCTGCAGTTTTGGACTAATGAAACCACAGAAGAATTGTTTTGCATTGTGAAATTATCTACTAAGTCACCATATTTGAATGAAGACTTTACAGTTAATCTATTGCATGCATTGTAAGTATAATCAAAATCCAAGTTAACATTTGTGAGGTTTTTACCTCCAGGATCTTACTCCACTGTAATATTTTGACTTCTGATAAGGGTAGCTCCAGTTTTATATTTTGCTTTAAGACTTTCTATCAGATTTACTTCATATTAGGTGATGGGGTGGGGAAATATTTCTTTAACAAGAAAAAGTTCCAATAGTGGAGAGAGGAATTTCCAAGCACCAGGTACCAAGCTGAAAGGGAAAAAAGGGCTGACATGGAACAGAGTACTAAAAACAAAATATAGCTTCTTACCCATGTTCTACATTTTAAGAACAATTTAAAAACAGTTGATTTAAGGCAAGGAAACACTCTCTTTTTTCAGAGTGAATGAGAACTTGTGTCTTCAAAATAAATTTTAAAATTTCAGTAATTATTCAGTAAGCAAGCCTATTCTCTCTGTAAAAATATGGTTTTAAATGTTATTGCATTTCAGGTATATTGTTCGTGGAACAGTTCTATTTTATAAAATTATAACATTATATCATTTTATTTAATAGATTAAACTGTAATTATGAAAAGTTTATAGTCCATACCTAACCCAATAAAATTATTCATTTTATTTGGAGAAGATATATTACACAAAATCATTCTATTGTGTTATGAGATCATAGTATCATGGCATTTAGGAACTCTGGAACCAGACCTATATTTCAAACATGAAAGGTAAACTGTTAACATTCCATCCTCTCTACTCTGTTATTTTGTAAAGTGGCATGTTTATTTTTTAGCAGGTGAAAGATATCTTCTATGAACACACTTCTTCAGCAATATCTTTTTAAGGCTTAAAACAGGAATAGCAATCGGAATAACAATCAATATTGTAGAGTTCTTTGTATTGTCATCCGATTCTTCTCTTAAAATTGTAGTTGTATTATCATGCAGCCCCTTTGAAATCTTTAAAAATGTTATTTTGTATTCCACAGTCTTCTGAATAGCAAAATATTTTGTTGACATAGTTCTTAGTTTTACTGAATGAGTACAGAAATACTTATTTTATGTGGTCTGGCCTGAATATTATGTTCCCAATATTCCTATTGGGAATATGCGTGTTTTCATTAGAAACACTATATCAAAAAGCTTTCTGCTTTAAAATCCACAGGAGGAAAAGGCATATGCATATATCATTGTGTATTTTTGCAGTGTTTATGTATCAAACTAAGCCATGATTGGTTTTAATCATGGCCAAGAGTCCAGGCATGCTGAACTCAGAAGACTTATTCTGGAATGTAGAGTTGGCTATTAAAATATCAAAAATTGAAAACTCACAACACTGGAGAATGCAATATTTGTGGTTTTATTGGCTCTCTTGTTCAGAATGAGAAGAAAGTTCTCTCATTTAAATAGAATGAGCTTCCCTTCCTTGTGCTTCTTCAAATAGATTCTCCAAGGAAACCTTGGGAATACATGGCCAACTATCGTCATTGGCCTTAATTTACCTTGTATGCCCTCTGTAAGATAAAGGAAACAAGCATAAATATTCAGGAACCAATTATAAGGATTCCCACAGACATCAAAATATATTAAGTTTGGAGGAATGGACAGATTTGAGAATCCAAAATTCTTACTATAAACCTAGTGAATGTTGATTTATATGAGAATTGATTCCCTTTAAGAGTCAGTCAGTCAGTCAGTCAGTCAGTCAGTCAGTCAGTCAGTCAGTCTGTCTATCCATCCAATCCATCCTTTTCCCCCAGATTTTACAATCATTTTTATTTTCCCCCAGAAATATTGCTTTTTCCAGATTTCTGAAATAAATTGATCTTAATGTAATATCTTTAGTTAATTTTTTGAGGGAAGTAAGATATTGAGAATTGCATCTGAATTCTCTTAAGGAGTTTAGAGGAAAATTGCAGCCAGTGGAACAATGAACATTTGCAACCAGTAAGCACAAACTTTAAACAGAGTATTCCCCCCACTACACTTCATTTATCAGAAGTGTGGTTCAAAAATATGAATTTATAACTTTATTTTTTAAAGTTATTTTTTAAAGTTAAATTACACTTTCTCTTTGCATTGAGCAGCAATGCATTCTTAATCACTATGACTCCTATTGTGAATTGGTTTATGGTATAGTAATTGTAAGATACTTGAAAAGACAAAATAAAATATCATTGTCATTGAGTATTTGTTTGTTCTATTTCTCTTAAAAAATCATTAGAATTATTCTAAAATACAAATGAAAATAAAGATAGTATAGAAATTAGAAAGGAAAATGACAAGAAAGAGAAGTATAGGGTAAAAGGGGAAAGAAAAAAAATGAAAACTTTGATTTCCAAATTCTTTCAGCACAGGTGGGAAGCGCAGAGCCCCAAGCCCTGCGGAGCCGGCCCGGGAGGCACACGGGCCCGGGTGGAAGGCGGTCTTTTCTGCAGCATCCCTCTCCCCTCTTTGGATCACCCTGCGGGGGGGGGGCTCTGCCTTTGCAGAAACGGGCCGGGCAGTTTGTACAGAGGATTGGCAGGGGGAGGATGTGCGGCCCTCCGGGATGGAGAGCGGGGCAAGAAAAGGCTCCGAGGTTCACTTGGGCAGTCAAGCCAGATGGCGGAGGGAAACTCAAAGTGTTGGGGGCTTCAGAAGGGCAGAATGTGCTTCACAATGTGCAGCTTCTGGCTCTAACAGTGAGTGAAATGAGTGACATCAAGTTGGCCATGCCCACCCAGTCACATGACCACCAAGCCATGCCCAAGCCACACCCATAGAACTGGTAGGGAAAATTTTGGATTTCACCACTGGGTAGCATTTCACCCCTGAATGTACCTTTAAAATGACATTGCCAACATATATTTGAGACCTTTATACATCTTTGACAATTTGCCAGTTGTTATATGCATCATTTTGTAACAAACTTTTTTTGCAAATTATAATTTAGTGTAAATTTTAAATCATTTGTCCACATTTTCCCCAGTACTCAAGCATTATGTTATAACAAAAATTCTAGCCCACTGAATCATACACCGTTTCACATATTCATTTTCCAGATTCAATTTCAACAACACTGGCAATAACATGGTCATTATTAGCACACCTTATATTCTATTTCTCTATAGTGTTTTTGGCTCCTTCCCTGCAATATTTTTTATGCTCTAATGTAACTAGTGACTTATGTGAGATATACTCTTTGGATATGAATCGCCTTCATGGTCTAATTTTTCCCTAATTATTGAAGGGTGGAAACAATAACTTGCAGCATCACAAACCTTTGTTCCAATGTAGTACAAAAAAAGTTCAATTACTAATATTAAATTAGTGATATTTGATACTGAGAATGTGGAACATCCATGAATCCAGATTTGGCACTTATTATTTACTATACTATAAATTAGGGCCATACATCATATAGACTGTGGTTTCATTTCAATGACACAGATGCTTTACCCATAGCCTAGCTGTGAAGTTGCCTGGAAATGAGTTCTAGGTTTTCCATTGCTAACCAGAAAGACAATGGGCTTTGATTGTGTTATTTCCGTTATGGCTTGCTACATTGCTGGAACATAGAAGAAATATTTACTTTCTTTGAAATGTTAGGGAGTAATACTGATGTGCTTTACATGTTTCTATGGAGTGTTTACATGCTGTCTCAGAATATTGGCAGTAGAATGCAAAATACAGACCGCAGAATTTATAAGCTTGGAAGAGACTGGGGATGCATCTTCCACAGGAGGAAATTATGTATTGTTCAAGCTCCAAATCCTTCAGATGCTTTTAACTTTAAGAAGAATATTTTGGGTCATTTATCTTGCTCTTCCTCCATGTACTTCTATCATAACCATTACTATGAAAAAAATGTCTCATTTAGCATAGATTGCATTGCAGAAAATTTTTGCTTCTGAATTGATCTTAATATATTAAATACAGCTTGGTATGTTAAAACTTTGAATCCAAATTCAGAGGTAGAAGAAGCTCTCATTTTGTGAAAGGTGGTCACCTTTTTCCTTCAGAAGGGGAGAAAGGAAATGAGAAGAAAATAGGTGATTGTTATTATCTGCACCATTTGAGCAACCCTATCTAACGATTGATTGTCTCTAGATTAAAAAGAATAGAACAGTGGGGTTCTTTGTGCTCTCTGAGCCTGAATGTTTTCTTGCAGACATTTCATTACCAAACTAGGTAACATCATCATATCAACCATAGTTTGGCAATGAAACGTCTGCAAGAAAACAACCAGCTGACTGCACCAAGGACCCACAGTTCAACCCTAAGCTACAAATATTCTTTTCTATCAAGAATAGAACTGTTGTCTAAAAACTAAAAAAAGATAGTAAACATAGAGATCATTCATACCAGATGACAATTCTCCATAGTATTTTTAAAAATTATTTGTTGAATTATTCATTGTTGCAGGGAAGGAAATGATCAACTGCCTTGCCCTCGCCCTCTTGCTAAACTCACTCACTGCTTAATTTATGTGTGTGTTTAGTTTATTACTTTGACAATCTGCCACAAGGACTGAGGTGTTTTGTTAGTTACTGCTTCTGTTCACACTGACACTGTTGTTGCCAAGGGCTAATTTGGTCTTTTTATTACACTTCATCTAGTACCTTCCATTTTGGATGTCACAAGTTAATATATATTCAAAAAGATGTTTGTTTCATCTGAGCACTTTTATAGTTTGGGAAAAAAACAAAATTATTTAGAGAGGTCAGCCAAAGAAGATATTTTGAACTGAATTTTTTAGAGGAAGGAAAACAAAATAGTATACTGTCAAATTAAAAAAAAACCTCAGACTTTCCATAATCTAGTCCAAATAATGAACTCAGAAGAATTTGAATTCTTTTTTTTGACAGTATTTTTTATTTTATTCAGAACATTAAAATACAAACTCCCAAAAGGAAAAAAAATACAAAAACAAAGCAAAGCTAAACAAGATAAAAAATAGATGTGCATTAAAAAAAATCATACAGATAGATGTCATGCATATTGATTCAAAAGAGTTTGAAATGAGAAAAGCATATTTATATAATTACTTAATAAACTACAGTATTAGATTTAACACCAGGAAGATAACATAAGAATATTTGAGAGATATTAATTTTGATGTTTTAGTGTAATTTTATATTTCAAAGGATATAATTTTGAAGAAAAAGCTGAAAAGAGGCATAGCCTTTTAAAAAGCAACAGATGCAATTTTATATTTCTCTTTGCAAGCCTTTTTCCTTGCCTTGTTGCATATTCTGTTAAAATTCTGTTGGTATTATGTCTGTACAGACTGAAAAAAGAAAAATTCAGATTATAACATCAAAAAAATTATACCTTTTCATTCTGAAAAGATTTCAATAGTATTCCAAGGTGAATGGATCTAATATTATAACAAATATTGTACAAAGGCAACTGTGAGTGTTTTTCAGCTGCTTCTATTTACGGTATTTCTTCCATTCTTTAACCTTCCCTAGGAATTCATTTTCCAAACAGTATAAACATGTTCAATATTTATTAACTTACTTACATTTTAAAAAACAAGATTGTAATGTAAGTGATTCTACCTGCTCCAAAAGCATGATTTTATGGTTTCAAAACAGTCTTTAAAAAGTATTTTACTCACTGAAGATTTGGTTCTTTAAAGCATCAAGCACTTTTTTTTTTTTTTGCAGAAAAATAATTTCTCCTTCCCTATAGAATTTTTAAAAATATTATATAAAATTTTGAAGTTTTCAAACTTTGGCTACGTAATGGGGGAACTCACCCAAAAAATTCAACCATATGAAATTGTCCTTTAATACACAATAATATTTTGCAGGAATTTCTATTTGTCCAAAGTTTACCCAAATAACTGCCATACAGTGGTGCTAATTCTTGGATTCTTTTGAGTCTTTCTACAAAAGTGGGAAATAGCACTATTGGACTATTTCATAAACGCTACATTTACACAACAACACAATATATCACCCTACAACCATGCCTGCCTTTTGTCTGTCTTATGGTTTTTCCTTGTAAAACAATTGAACTTCTGATCATCCCCAAATTCTTTTCCCTTTGTTAAACGGGAACATTTAAAAATTGGATGTAAAACACTGAAGCGGCTTTGGACTTAGGTTTCCTCTCCCCCAGTCAAGTATTATAATTATAGAGAGCTTGTGTTGCCTTTGGATGGTTGGTGGGAGTTTTAGCGGAGAGAAGTAGCCACTAAGGTTTGGTTTTTTCCCCCTGTGGAGTGAATTTTCTGGACACTCTGCCTCCTTTCTTGTTTCTCAAATCTTTTTCCAAAAGGAGTGTCACTGCAAGCAAGCATATTTACCACTTACAGGGCAAGACAGGGAGTTCTATACACTGATCAGTGAAGATTTCATATTTTTCAACATTTTTCTTCTATTTTAAATAAAATAGATGAAATGGATAAAAATGGGATAGTTGTAATGGTACAGGCACACCATCATTCAAATGTTTGTTTTTCCGTCTGCTACAGGAATGTCTTGATAGTGCTTATAGATATTGATGTAGAAATGTATTTTAATAATATAATTGGAATGGATTGTTATAATTATATAAAATGGATGCACATTTTTTTATCATGCCTTTGTATAAGTAAAAGTGCTTTGTGGCATTTACAACACAGGGTGTTTTTTTTTTCATTTCTTGAATAGCAAAAATAATGCAAACAATTTACAGAATTTCTAATAAAGTCCTTTGCATGATCTAGTAAAAGAAATAACAAGAAAATGCCTGGTTTTCTTTCCTTTTCAGAACAGATGCATCACTGGAAAGTGCTTCTACAAATTTACTAAAGGAAAATTCTTCAGCTATTCATTGTAATATTCTAAAAGCCCAAAAATATGAATGTCAGATATCTTCAGTAAAATTGAATCATATTTACATTATGTGGCTCAAGATCACAAATGGAAATATATTACTGCAGTCACCATTGATGTCAGTCAAGCCTATAGATATTGGTAAGTTTTGATCTATTAGCAAAAACATCAAGCATGCTTGCCAAGCTCTTTCAGACTAAGCCAGAATTATTCTTGAAATTCCACAGTAATGAAGACAACCTTGGTTTATAGGTATAGATGTACATCATGGCTAAGTCAAACTTACTCTAAAGCAGGGGTGGGCAACTATGGCCCTTTTATGACTTGTGGACTTCAACTCCCAGAATTCCTGAGCCAGCCATGTTAGCTCAGGAATTTTGGGAATTGAAGTCCACAAGTCATAAAAGGGCCATAGTTGCCCACCTCTGCTTTAAAGGATAGATTCTCTCAGAACTAGGAAGAAATGGGAAAAGCAGCGCAGAACGAAATGTTTATGTTAAAATCTTTTTTTTTTTTGGCATCCCAACATGCTTTAATTAGAAGTAAAACAGTCATTCTGTTTAGTGATACTAGTCCTGAATGAATTCCCTAAAACATTGAATTAATATTATTAGTTATAAATCTAGCATTCATTGAGTATTGTGATTTATATTTTGACATTTCACTATTCTGACACTTTACTTAAATTTATTAAGTAAATTTAAATTATTTAAATTCATAATATATTATAAATAAAATTGTATTCAAGGAAGAATATATTATTTTTCATAATCTATGCTGTGGCACAAAATACACAAATGAGTGTTAAGATTTGATAAGTCAAAGATACCAATCCTATCTAATATTCTCTTATTGGTATCTTATGATATTACTTTATTGTTGTCTGTACACTGAGAGCTTATGCACAGGAGACAAATTCCTTGTGTGTCCAATCACAGTTGGCCAATAAAATATTCTATTCTATTCTATGGTACCCTTAGTTATACTGCAACCACAACTTCCAGTTTGCTAGTAATTGTGGAAATTATAGTGTCAACATATCTTGATGGAATAAAAATGGGGAAGTTGATCTGCATTCTTATTTAAAAAATCATGTTTTTAACATACTTTGTAATGCTTTATTCCAAGTGTGAAGAGTAAAAATGGGGGGGAGGGGACTTTGAGGAGATGCTGACACTCTGAAAGGTTACATTTTAGTAGCTGTATTAGTACAATGCTTGTTTCATTAAAATGTAATTTAGTTTTTTAATTTTAATTTTTTTAATTTTAATTAAATCAGAGTTTTATATAATCAGATGATGGTTGCATTTAATCTTTTGATACTTTTTGGCTTAATAAGTAGATGCTTCAAAATTACTCATTGTCTGAACTATTTTGTATTTTATTATAATAAAAATAGATAAAGAATGTTTGTTATATTAGTTTAGTAAATTATTATAAACTTTTTAGAATGAGTGTTTTATATTAGTTATAATATAGTTTAATGTTTGGGAAACATGATGGAATTACAGGCATTACACAATGTTTCTGTAAATCATGTTTTTCAATAGTCAGATATTTAAATCTTCTAGTTAGCAGAACTAAAATACCATTTGTTATAATTTAGTTACATCACTTCAAATGATGCAAGGTTTGGATCTATTTTTAAAAATATGGATTAAGATAATTTTTTACAAAAGTCAGCTATACTTTGTTGTGGAATGGAATTGCGAAAGTAAGTTTTGTGATGTTAACTTCCACTTTTAAACTTACTCTTCCAAGGCACAGGGTTTCTAGTGGTAGTTAGTTTTTAAAAATGAAGTTCTCTAATACAAGATGTAGATTTGTCCTTGTGCACACTTTTTCAAGCAGCAGCCACAGAAATGTTCATAATATAAATCAGTGTGTACTGAATTACTAGAAATGCAGTCTTGTATATATTCATAAGAATAAGCAATATTTTAAAGCAAAACTTTACATATGATCTTCTGTAAACTCCATTGCAAATATTGATTTTATTGCCTTTTCATATTTTAATCATACTTAATCATACGGTGGCGGTTGATACCCCTAGGCTTATGGTCATGGGGGATTTCAACCTGCCATCCGTGGGTGAGGCGTCAGAGGTGGCTCAGGAGTTCATGGCTTCCATGACAGCCATGGACCTGACCCAGTTAATTCATGGCCCTACCCACACGGGGGGAAACACGCTGGATCTGGTTTTTGTCTCTGGACAGTGGTTGAGTGATCTCGAGATAGGGGATATAGTCACCAAGCCCTTGTCATGGTCTGATCACTCTCTCCTTTGTCTCGACCTTCGAACCGCTACACCCCGCCGCAGGGAGCCGGAGCCGGTAAGATGGTTCCGCCTCAGGCGCCTGATGGAACCTGATAGGTTCCAGATGGAGCTTGGGCCATTCCCTGAGGCTCTGGCACACGCCTCGACTGGAGACCTAGTGGCTGCCTGGGATAGGGCGGCCGCTGGACCTCTGGACCGGGTCGTGCCTTTGCGGCCTCTGACCCGGCGCCGATCTCATTTAGCTCCTTGGTTCACTGAGGAGCTGAGGGAGTTGAAGCGCTGGAAAAGACGCCTAGAGAGCAGTTGGAGGGCCAGTCTTTCTGAATCTGACCGGACACTGGTAAGATCTCATATTAGGAATTACCTAGTGGCGATAAAAGCAGCGAAATGTAGCTATTTTGCTGCTCTTATTGCATCATCAGATAATCGCCCGGCTGCCCTGTTTAGGGTGACCCGCTCCCTGCTCCACCAGGAAGCGCGGGAGGACCCCTTGGAGGGTAGAGCCGAGGATTTTGTTCAGTATCTGTATGACAAAATCACTCAGATTCGGGAAGATCTGGACTCCGACTGGGTAGTCTCAGGGGGAGGGACTGGGGCAGGTCTTGAGAATGTTATCTGGGATGAGTTTGATCCTGTGACCCCTGAGGACGTGGACAGGATTCTGGGTAGACTGAACGCGACCACTTGTTTATTGGACCCATGTCCCTCCTGGTTAGTGCTGGCTTCTCGGGAGGTGACACGAGGCTGGTTCCAGGGGATTATAAATGCTTCGTTGGGTGAGGGTGTCTTTCCTGCCGCCTTGAAAGAGGCGGTGGTGAGGCCTCTCCTCAAGAAGCCTTTCCTGGACCCGGCAATGTTGGTAAATTATCGTCCGGTCTCCAACCTTCGTTTTGTGGCGAAGGTTGTTGAGAGTGTGGTTGCGCAACAGCTCCCCCAGCACCTGGATGAAACGATGTATCTGGATCCGTTCCAGTCGGGCTTCAGGCCCGGGTACAGCACGGAAACGGCATTGGTCGCGTTGGTTGATGATCTCTGGAGGGCTCGGGACAGGGGGTGCTCCTCTGTCCTGGTCCTGTTAGATCTCTCAGTGGCTTTTGATACCATTGACCATGGTATCATGCTGCACCGGTTGGAAGAGTTAGGGGTGGGAGGCACTGTGTTGCGGTGGTTCTCCTCCTTTCTCTCTGACCGATCGCAGTCTGTGTTGACAGGGGGACAGAGGTCGACCCCGAGGCCCCTCATATGTGGAGTGCTGCAAGGGTCGGTCCTCTCGCCTCTCCTGTTCAACATTTATGTGAAGCCGCTGGGCGAGATCATCCGTGGTTTCAGGGTGGAGTACCATCAGTACGCTGACGACACCCAGCTGTACATCTCCACTCCGGATCACCCCAACGATGCCCTTGAAGTAATGTCCCGGTGCCTGGAGGCCGTACGGATCTGGATGGGGAGGAACAGGCTCAGGCTCAACCCATCCAAGACCGAGTGGCTGTGGTTTCCGATGTCCCGATATAGTCAGTTGACGACATCACTGACTATTGGGGGTGAATCATTGGCCCCCACGGAGAGGGCTCGCAACTTGGGCGTCCTCCTGGATTCACGGCTGTCTTTAGAAGAGCACTTGACGGCCGTGACCGGGAGGATTTTTCATCAGGTTCGCCTGATTCGCCAGTTGCGTCCCTTTCTGGATCGGGACTCGTTATGCACGGTCACTCATGCCCTCGTCACCTCCCGCCTGGACTATTGCAATGCTCTCTACATGGGGCTCCCCTTGAGGAGCACCCGGAGGCTCCAACTGGCGCAGAGTGCGGCCGCGCGGGTGGTAATGGGAGCGACATGGCACTCCCATGTAACACCTCTCCTGCGCGAGCTGCACTCGCTCCCGGTGGTCTTCCGGGTGCGCTTCAAGGTTTTGGTTACCACCTTTAAAGCGCTCCATGGCTTAGGACCTGGTTATCTACGGGACCGCCTACTACCACCAATAGCCTCCCACCGGCCAGTATGCTCTCATAGAGAGGGACTCCTCCGGGTGCCGTCAGCCAAACAGTGTCGGCTGGCGACCCCTAGGGGGAGAGCCTTCTCTGTGGGGGCACCTACCGTCTGGAATGAGCTCCCCCCAGAGATACGGAGGATCCCGGATCTGCGCACCTTCCGCCGCGCTGTGAAGACCTTTTTATTCCATCAGGCAGGCTTGGCCTAATCTCTTCCCTTTTTTAAATATGTAAATTTTAATCTGTTTTTAAATTATTGGGGTGTTTTAATCTGTCTGGGCCAAAATGATTTAATTTGATTTTATCTGGTTTTTAAATTTTTTGTATCTATGTATTTTATTATTTGGCTGTTCACCGCCCTGAGTCCTTCGGGAGTAGGGCGGTATACAAATCAAATAAACTAAACTAAACTAAACTTGCTGGTTTATTAATATATTGTATGTTATTGTACATCATTTCACTCATTTTACAAATACCTTGAATAATTTGTAAATGATTAAATATTTTAATAACATGAATAATGTTTGAATTATGTCATATTGTTTGAATTATATTGCTTTAGTATGCTTATTTGCAAAGCAGTGATTCTCAAATAAATCTAGAAATGTAGTTATAGATAAAATTGTGAAATTCAAGAATAGTGATAAAAGTTGAATATTCAAATCAGTAGTACAGAATTATACATCATTTTCACATAACAGTGATTTAGATCAAATATATATTATGTGAATATAATTTATGGAAAATAAATGAAATTATTATAATATACAGGCCAAGTAAAGGTACAATGAGATGTATCATACAGTATTTAAGATTATAGCTCCTTAAACAAATACTATCAAATTCTATAATTACTTATAAAATAATTTGTATATTGTTTGATACTTGATCTTAAATATCTGTATTCAGATTTCAACCTAGCCAGGTGGCAGTTTTAGAGTTAGCATTAATATAAGGGAATATTGTTAAACTTTCCATTCCATGAATTAGAAAAACATAGTCATTTATTTATATTATTAATCTTTTTTTAAAAAAATACCTACTTTTGTTCTTTTTCTACCAAACCTATTGCCTGGTATGGGAAATCTTCCTTTCAAACTTTGACATAGTAAATAATATGAGAATTTTAATTTTATTTTGCTTCTTTTGGATACTTAACAAACTCCAGCCACAACTGTTTCAGACCACAACCACCAAGGCATTTATGCATATTATATGTTGAAATTGTTTTGTTTAACTGGAACATGAGCCAATAGGGTACTCTTTCTTGATTAAGGTGAAATTGATTGAAAAAGATGCTCTAGATATTAACTGTGTTATTTAAAAATATTCAATCCTATGTAAATAAAATAATTGTATGCACATATAGAGATGATCAAATTAAACATTTTAGCAAGCTTAAAATATTACTGTAAATAAATGTGTTTATGGCATATTGTTTATCATACTATTTTGCAGTAAAACCTGACCCTCCATTATATCTGCAAGTTGAAATGACAGACACAGGACAAATAAAAATCTCTTGGTCTCAGCCAGCATCTAAATCCAATTTATTTCTATACGAAGTGAAATGTTTTACAAACTCAACTAAAAGTTTTCAACAGGTGAGACAAATTCCTTATTCTGAGCCGCTTATAAAATAGATTTAAGAGTCACTGTAAATTTGGCAAGCTTAATTTAAGATTAAACTAATAATTTTCTTGCAACTATGAGTTTACATTTGGCAGCAGCAAGATAGAATAATGAGGAAATACATGTTGTCAGATCAATACATAAACAATATGTTTTAGATATTTGTAGCCAGTCTTCCATTATGTTTTCATTATAATGGTTTGTACTGGACACCTATGCATTGAAATGATTAAAACTAACAAACCTAATACTTCAAAATAAAAGGGATTTAATTATGCTTCATTTTCATTGGATTATACAGGTAGTCCTGGATTTACAATAGTTCATTTAGTGACTGTTCAAAGTTACAACAGCACTGAAAAGAGTGACTTATGACCATTTTTCACGCTTATGACCATTACAGCATCCCATGTTACTAATTTAACAATGTCAGTGTTCACTTAACGGATATGACCAGAAAAGGTGTAAAATGGAGCAAAACTCACTGAACAAAATTCTCACTTAACAATATAAATTTTGGGCTCAATTATGTGTCATAAATTGAGGACTACCTATATTTCATTAGCTCACAATGCAAGCACAAAAACATACTTTTAAGTGAGATGCAGTGGGATTATAATCTACTCTCCCAATTGCACATATTCACAAAAAATACTACTCCCTAAATTTACTTTAAATCTGTTTGAGGTTTGGCATGGATCATCTAGGAAGCAAGTTCTATGTGCATATGTGAAAGGTTGCACAATCCTCTCTATTTTCATTTTGTATTACTGAATGCATTTTCTATCAACCAAATTGGAAGGGGACAATGTCCCCATGGAGTGCACGTATGTAACCTTTGCATTCTGGACACATAAACTTTATATAAAGTCAGGTGTTAAAACCAAGAAATAAACCCTCTTTTGTTTTTTATTAGCTTCATTTTATCATCTCTGATTTTATATTTTTAAGTTAATTCAGTGAAAGAATGGCATTATTCTTATTATTTTTAAAAATATAATTTAATAGGTGGCTGAAATTACCATGGGAACATCGCTGACCATAAATAATGAATTACTCGAATCTTCATATATAATTCAGGTTCGGTGCAAGAACCATCAGAAATTAGGTCTTTGGAGTGATTGGAGCTCACCTTTTAACATGGATCTACAAGGTACATTCACGTAAAAAAATGTTATTAATCCAGGATATTAGATCATTTTATTTGACTGCTTTGAAAAATATAAAGCCACTTATGTATGTGTTATATAATTTGAATTGAAAAATTGAGTAGGTTCAAATTTGACATGATACATGCACTTTATGCATGGAATGATAGTCGATAATATTTGAAATCAGAGTATCTTTCTTGTAAGAATACCATGAACTATAATTCAAATGAACTTTCAATGTAATCTTAATTTGGATAAATGGAGAATTTATTCTAAATAATTGCAATTTTTAAAATAGATTTGTATTTGTATAATTATGAAAATAGTAATAATGATAGTGATGATAATAAATGTTTTATTTATTATTCGTTTTATTAAAAGAACATTTTACAAGGATTTTAAAAACTACAGAAACATAGAAGAAATAGTAAAAAGTTATAAAAGGGTAAAAGAAGCCTACAAACATAGATACACACACACTCTGCATCATGGCCCATGAGAAGTTAAACATTGTTTTTTTATTTTTACAATATCTGTAATATATCTCAATCTAAAGATCTTGAGTGGCATACAAGATGTTACTCATAACAGGTTCCAAATGTATCAAATGCATCCTGAATAGATGCCCACAATAATGAATTAAAGCTAAAGGAATGGTGGACTAATGGCTGTTTTTGTCACATTATAGAATGATTGAAAGGAGGGATTAAAATGCAAATCTGGAATCAATTAATTCTAAAATTTGGGGTATCATCTTTCATAACTAAGGAGGAAGAGCATATTATGTAATTCAGAGTTGTCCAACCCATGGTCCATGGCCTTCATGCGGCCCTGGATAGCTAATAACATGACCCCACAAGTTTTAACATTATTATGTGATTTTATATATATCAACTATATTATATATTTTATATGTGGCCCAAGATAATTCCTCTTTATTCAGTGTGGTCCAGGCAAGCCAAAAGCTTGGACGCTCATGATCTAATCTGAGGGAGAACTGCCTTTTTCATGTGTTGAAATTTGAAACTTGATTAATGAGGAAATAATTAGAAAGTATATTACAAAGTAATAAAAAATAACATGGGAAATGTGTTGTTAAAAATTCCAACATTTGTGGTTGTTTTTATAAAGAATAATGTTATAAAAATTATTTAAAATATTATAATGCTTCTTTCTTTTGTTTGTAATAGATGTCATGTATTTCCCTTCCAAACTCCTAGCAAGTGTTGGAACAAACATTTCTTTTTATTGTGTTTATAAAACCAAAGACAAAATTATCTCATCAAAGAAGATAGTCTGGTGGTTGAATTTAGCAAAAGAAATCCCAAGTAGCCAGTACACTTTTGTGAATGACTACACTAGCAAAGTTACACTTACCAACCTGCCTGCAATGAAGCCTGGAGGAAATTTTCTTTTTAATGCTTTATACTGTTGTAATGAAAACAAGGAATGTAATCACCGGTATGCTGAACTATACATAATAGGTAATATATCAGATTGTTTCTACAATTATAAATGCTGATGAACTCTTATTCTTTGTTTGCATATTCACTAATGCTGTCTTTCAAATAGATGCTAATATCAATATCACATGTGAAACCTATGGCAATTTACAAAAAATGACCTGTTTCTGGTCCATCAACCCAGATCCAATACTTTTGGAGAGTACTTTGCTGTTAAGATACTACAGGTAAATGTTCATTTCAATATAGTATTTTTGAAAAGCTTTTTCTTTCAGAGCTCAAGTTAGTACAGGGTTGAGGAAAATCCTATACAGTGATATGGAAGTGTTCATTAAAAGAAAGGTTGGATGTGATTTAAGTGGGAAAACTGAATTCTGTGCCCTTTAAAATAGCCTTTTCAAATCTGATACTTTCAGAGGTGAGTGCAACTCTCAAAATTTCAGAGAGCATGGTTAAACATAATTTAGATAATCTGGGAATTGCAGCATCTCTAATTCTAATGGGAGCTTGGGCTAGAAATTGTAGCTTTGACCGGCATCCTTTATTATATTCCCTCATCACATTAGAGCTTAATAGCAGTTTTGAGACTGAATATCTGATGCACACTATTAAGGTCCCAAATTTTGGTTTTTAAACAGCAGAAGTAGAGATATTTTGTGACCCTTTTGATTTGAAATTCAGTCCTATAAATACCAACATGCATTACATTTTTTATTCATGACACTGCTTCTTGCACTCTGGTCATAATCCTTGTTGTAATAATGCTAATTTTGTTGACTTTCTAGGGGTGAAAGATATTAAAAAATATTCAATTTAATAAATTACTAAATATATTTAGCTGGATTGGAACCATCCATTGCTGAGATCTTCCTCCTATCAAGATAATTCACTGTAATTTGGGACATATCCATGTAATTTCCATGCAATTAAAGATGTGTTTTGCCGTTACCTCCTGCAATATTTTTTTAAATGTATCAATCTTGCTGTATCACTGATATTCCATGTAGGTCAAACCAGGCCCAATCTTATATAGGTATTGAATCAACAGCAGGTTAACTAAGTGCTGCCACTTGCTGAGACAATACTTTTTTTAAGGCCAACCAAAATGGCACAAATGAATGTGCTAATAGTTTGAGTTCTTTAGAAATTTTCATCATATTATAAAATTATTGCAAGCTCCATATTGACTTCTTGGTCAAATGGTGATCAACTATACTTAATCTTATGGAACTCATCCTTCTACCTGGTTGCAATCCTTTCTGTTCCTTTGGAGTCATTTATTGGTTTTAGTGAAAGTGGTGCCTAATGAAGTTGTATGTAATGAATATGATTCTGTAAGAAAGTTCTCCACAGGTCTTTGTGCACATATATAACTTACGTGTAAATTTAATGTATAGATGACAGTTTAAAGAACGATCACTTTTTAAAGTAACCAGTTTACCAATTTTGGTAAACTGGTTACTTTGGTTTGATTGTCTGGGGTATGAATTAAGCTACCAAATTTTGTGTTACTTGCAGATTTGATAACTCCAGCTTTATTAATTCAACTCAGTCATGAAGATACAGTAGTTTGCCAAGATTATTCTTTGGGCTTAGGTTACTTAATCCAAGTTTTCTAGGGGAACTTAATGTATTAAAGATTGTAATATATAATACCCAATGTCTTTGAATCCTCAAGTCTTCCTCTTATACAACAAAACCTGTCCTTTATGAAAAATAGTGTTTATTTGTATTTATTTATTATGAAATGTATTTGTTTTTTAATGTTTTTATGTTGTAAGCCACCCAAAGTTGTTGAACACAAGATGGGTGGCAAATACATTTCATAATAAATAAATAAAATAAATAAGTAATCATTCTCCCTATCATCATTGAAGAGAAGGATGATCAGGACTGACCCTTGGGTATCTTAATTCTTTATTCTAATGTGAATCAATCTGGTGGCATGCTACCTCATCTGCTACCTTTTAGCTCTAAACAGCACCTGCTGACCAAAGCTCCTAGATAGAGTGTTCTGGGGCAGATAAACCGGTGGTCGATCATGGACTGACACTTTAAGAAATAAGTCATATAACATGGTGATCAGAAACATCCACAGGATCTAATTCTTTCTTGAAAATGTTGGAAGCTGCTTTCATAATTTGCCTTCCCTTGATCTCCCTGCGGTCATTTCTGGTAGTAACTAAGGTGTTGCAGATTCAAATCTGGCTTAATTGTGAAGACCTCTGAACTATCTTGTCTTAGTCATTGTCTCACAGCCTAATATACTCATAGTTTTATTGTTAAGCTGCAAATACAGTTCTGAGCATCTTAGAGGAAAAAAATGAGTTTCATTTAAAATCAATAAATTTAGTCTGAGGTCTTTTGCCAGGGAAAGGAGTGCGTATTACATTTGGCTTAAGGCTCCTTGGCTCAGTATTGTGGCAGTATTGGATATTAGCTTTTGCAAAGTGCTGTTCAAATCACCTTCCTTTCCTCAATCTCTGTTTCCCATTCTCAAAATGAGATTAATATTGACCTGTTTCTTAGAGTCATTGTGAAGATGAACAAGAATAAGTTTTACAAAGTTCCTTGTGTGCTAGAAGTGATCTCTGTCTCTGTCCCTCTTTTCTAACTGCAATATGGCACATACCCCTTAATAATCTTAGTTCATGTGTACACTTTCACAAAGAGAGATTATGTCACCAGTCAGTGCTATGTATGGAACTGATAATTCAATTTCCCACCCCTCCATCCCGAAGTCTGCAAAAGAAAGAGAAAACATTAATGAAAGTAAACATATTATGTACCTGTCACTTTTAGTTTTTCATCAACGCAGAGAGAAACTAGATTGATGGCAGTTCCTTTTAGTGTGGTATCTTGTAGAGACATTTATTCATTTCCTCATAGATCCTATTCATTATCAGTATCAGCATTCCCACTGATTTTAGCAGGCTTTACATCAAACTGTGAGGCTTATTTTTTTTTTTCTGGTGGATTACCAAAAAGTAAATATAAAACAGGATGACCTACCTATTTTCAAAGAGACTCTAAATCTGTGGCTTGGTTAAAGAGGCAATATATTTCATGACCAATAACAACAATCAAGTATTCAATCATGAGTACACCAGCTGTGTGTACTCAGGTTCTGGTAAGATGACACATGCCAAATGTCTTCCAGTACTTCACATAATTGACTTCCCATCTGACTGAAATGGCAGTAGGGAAAAACTCAGCCTCAAATGTAATGATGAAGCAGTAGCCTCAAACATTATAGCAAAATATGTATAGTTAGAATGAGCTTCAGGCTTGTTAGTTCATTAGACTTGAGACAATGGTGTTGATGATCTAAAATGAGAAATTCTGAGATGCAAATAGATTTTCCAGGCATTTGCCTAAAGATTTTGTTTACACCTTAATATATTATAATACATAGCTTTATTTCAGGGAGATATGCTGAAATAACGTTTAATGACATATACATTTTATAATTAAACGAATACATAAATAAAATTGTTCATTTTAGCTGAGTAAGCTGAAATAGTTAACTACAAATTTTGTAATTAAAAAATAAAAAAACTGCAAGATATGTGAAGATATTTAAATTCTTTTTTACGAAGACATTATATTACAGTACTTATGTGATCTCAAGTGCTAAGTTTATACGTATTGTTTTCTTGTTATTTTAAGGAACGATATATACTGTTCAGAATCTCCGAGCATGCATACCGATTCAGAGGTGAAAGAATGTAATTTGCTTAAGAATAATGTTTATGAGTGCATCTTTAAACCCTTTTACCTTCTGTCTGGATACACTATGTGGATAGAGATTAAGCACTCATTGGGAACAGTTACATCAAGACCAGTATGTGTCCTTCCAAAAGAAGTAGGTAAGTGAAAGGGATTTCCAACAATGGATTATAGCCTAAATTGATTTGAAGATTGTCAGGGTGGCAATTAATCCCATTCTGCTTTTGGATAATTGAGTTATCATGGGTCTTCTTCTCCAACTCCTCTTCCAACTCCTCCTCCTCCTTTTTTGTTTTCTTCTTCTCTGTTATCTTCACAGTACAAGCACCAACCAGAGGGGAGGACAGGGGAAGGGAAGATTGACATGGGGTTGTGATTTCACATCATTAATCCTTTTTTGGGGTATGCTTCCAAGTCACAGTTGATTTTGACTTGTGCCTTAACAAATCCCAGTAGTATTTTTGTTAAGGCTTTCAGAAGTGGTTTGCCAGTGCCTACTTCTTAGTGCGGAGAGAGAATGACTGGCCCAAAGTTATCCAGCTGTCTTTGTGCTTTCTCTATCCCAATTTCTGTCCTGATATCTTGATCACTACACCAAACTGACTTTCTTGTGATAAACACTACTTTACATACTATAACATTCTGTATCCCAAAGAGGCAGGGCCTGAATTTTGACTTTGAGATGATCTTTATCTTTACCTTTTATCTTTTATTAGATTTGTATACCGTCCTTCTCCGGACTCCGAAAGACTCCGTCTTTCGGACTCAGGGCGGTGAACAGCCAAAATAAAAACATTTGTACACAAAAGTTAAAATAATGTTTAAAAATAATTAAATGAAATTTGGCCCATAATTTAAAACATTTCAATTAAAAATCAGTATCAAATGTTAAAACCAACAAGGAATCATGGAGATGATGGCTGCTATTGTTGAATCTGCATGATATACTGTACGTGTTCAAATATAACTCTTTAAGGGCTTACAACAAATTTCATTTCCAAGGAAAGACAGTTTGCAAAACAGCTTTTTAAATGTAAGAATGAAAGGGAAATAAAAACTCTAGGTTTTTGCCTCCCTTTTAAGTTGTATGTAATACAGCTAATGCAAGCTGCAATACAAAATTCCTTTTAAGATGTATCCTGTATTTCAATCTGTAATTATAAAAATGTAATTGCTGCTGCTTACATATATGTACTATTGGGTTGATTTTTTTCTATTTTTTCATATTCCACCTCCAAAGTATTCCTTTCAATTGGCCATTTTAATTATTTGGTCAGCCTGTGTGGAAGATAAAGATAGCTGTTTTTATTAAAACTGAAAGAAAATTAAATGCATATGAAATTGCAATGATTTATCAGGCCTTGCAATAAACATTTAAAATAAGTTTTCATTTCTAATATGTCTTTATTATATTTCCATGTTGATAGATAGGGAGGTGATGTATAGAACAGATTATTCTCGCTCAAGAGTTACAGGATTCAATAACAAGATCATAAGGTCTTGTATGGTCATTTAAAGGTTGGTTTTGGAGATTCAGTTCTGTTGCAGCTACAGATACGACAAAGGCTGCAATGTTTGTTGTTTGCTCCTTCCACCTTTAAAGCAGCACATAAAAGACGCCTCATTTTAACATCAAAAAAGAGATGTGTGTACAGGAGTAGTTAGACGTCTCTTTGTCACCAGCTTTACCTGCCTTCAGTCCTTTGTTCTGAGCATTTTCCTTCTTACGGATCTCCAGTATTGTGCATGAGTCACCGTGCCGGGAAGGTGGTGAAGAATGAGAAAATGGGACAATGACGTGTTAAAAGGGGGAAAAATAATACATATTTACATTATAAATCCACCCCATTGCCTTCAATGGGCCTAAGATTATGGTTGCTTTCTAGCATTGCTGAAGATCAGCAACCGTTGCTGTGATTTTCTGAGCAGTTTGAACCAATCATCTTTACTGAACAGGTTTAAAGATGTTGCATTTCTAAAAGCCACAAAAAATAATTGGCTTCCTTATTAAATTATTATAAAATTTACTTAAAATTAATTTGAAAACAAAATGATTTCTAATTAGATCTTGCATCAGTGGTGGTATTCAGCTGGTTCTATCCAGTTCAAGTGAACCGGTAGCGGCGGCTGCAGGAGGCTCCGCCCACCCACCTGGACGCCATCACGTCCCATTTTTGACGCTCTGCGCATGCACAGAAGGTCCTGCGCATGCACAGAGGTGTCACACACGAGCAAAACAAGCACGAGCACACTCACATTTGCAAACCAGTAGCCAAGGTAAATGAATACCACCCCTGTCTTGCATCTGTATCATACAGAATAGAATAGAATAGAATAGAATAGAATAGAATAGAATAGAATAGAATAGAATAGAATAGAATAGAATAGAATAGAAAAACAGATTGCAAGGGACCTTGGAGGTCTTCTAATCCAACCCCTTGCTTAGGCAGGAAACACTATACCATTTCAGACATATGGTTGTCCAATCTTTTCTTAAAAACTTCCAGTGTTGGAGCAATCACAACTTCTGAAGGCAAGTTATTCCACTGATTAATTGTTCTGTCAGGAGATTTCTTCTTAGTTCTAGGTTGCTTCTCTCCTTGATTAGTTTCCATCCATTGCTTCTTATTCTTGGTAACCACTCTTCTTTCTGGAAGTTTAACATCAGAAATCCAATTCCATAAAATCTTTAGAATTGGGCAACTCAGTATTTTTCAGCTATCAGTCTTTACCAGATTATTGAGAAGCTAGATATTATATTTCTTCCAAAAATGTAAGAACACCAGAAAAACCTTGGAGGAGCAATGCTGTCCTCTGGATTTCGGGACAAGTTTAACACAGTGGTTATGAGTTAATTCTAGATTGAAAGAATCACAGATGGAGTTTTTCATGAGAAGGAACTTTTTTTTTTAAGGCAACAGGTTATTACTGCAATTGCTTACAATTAAAGTATGACAAAGACACATTTTTATAAATTGCAAGATACATTATTTTGGTGAAATGTAATAGGGAAGAACCAGTGCATAGATATCCAAGGGAGATACCCAGTAAGTCAGCCAAATTTCTTTTGTTTACCTTTCTAGTGAAGCCATTCTCTCCCTTCAATGTCAAAGCTGAGATTACAGAGGACACTGGGCAACTGAATGTGAGTTGGAAGAACCCTGAACTTCCAAAGAATGACCTTCAGTTTCAAGTTCGATATGTGGCTAGCGGAGAAGACATTAACTGGAAGGTATGTTCTGATTTAATGCAAACTAATGCTTTACTGAGGATTCTTCTGTTAGTTTTATTAGTGTCTGGTTCATCTTGGGAGGAAAAAGAACAATTTTGATATGTTTCTTTCTTTTTTCTAATCTTGGCTTTAGCCACTCAGAAATTATTTTATTATTATTGGTTAGGTTTCTTTGCTTTTTTTTTATAGATTCAGGAAGTTCCTGCTGTATCAGTTACCTCTGTGAGTATTGCTGTACAAGATCCCTGTGTAGTTTACATTATTCAGGTGCGCTGCAGGATGACTGAAGGAATTGGCTATTGGAGTGATTGGAGCAGATCTGTTTATACAGTTGTTAAGGATATCAAAGGTCAGTATATTACCTATATGCTTTTGGCTATATGCTATATTACCTATATGCTTTTCATTTAGAACAAGTTGTATGTAAACAATTTGAAATATGTGTTATTTTTTCAGCTCCTTTGAGAGGACCTGAATTCTGGAGAGTTATTAATGAAGATCCCATTATGAACCAGAAAAATGTTACTTTACTTTGGAAGGTAATTCTGAGAAGAAGAATAAGATGCTCAACATCTAATTTTTTGTATTGCTCTATTATTCTTTACAATTAGTTATATCAAACTAGCTAAAACTGTAGTTCCTTTACTGTTAATGTATGTGGGGTAATAATCAATTTGGCTTTCTCTTTCAATTAGTTAAAAATATAAAGAAGACATTTTATATATTGGCCTGATTTACACAATTCTTAAAATATATTAATCAAGAGCCTTTTTAAAAATAGAAAAGGGGAAGTTTTTAAAAATTTGAAGTTCCACAATGTAATTATTATTGTTTACATGCAACTTTCAGAAGTGTATCTTTTTTTAAGGACTATTTTTTGATTAAGCTTTGATTCAGGAAAAAAAAAATCCTAGTAGGCTTTAATGCTAAAAGTTGCCTTGGAATAGAATTTCTAAATTTGTTTTCAAAGGAATTAAAGGTAGAATTTTTTGCATTTCTGTTTGTGATAGGCATCATTCAAGTTTGCACTGCCTTTCAGGGATGCATGATCCAAACAACTTTATTATCAAAATCAGCACATCAGCAAATATATAGCATGGTTCTTTAAAATCCTACAACCTTTTAAAAAGTTGAACAACTTTTACATTGCAAGTACAAAAAGTTGTACTTGCAATGTCAACAGTTAACGCAAATAAAACCTAAAGCCAAATGGTTCTCCCTTCTCCTTTCAATATTCTACATGATTTCAAAATTTTCTCCAAAGATTCCAGGTCTAAAGATTAGATCCTGAGGATACATGAGCTGTTGCACAGAGAAGGAGAGAATATTCTCTTGTATGAGCATAAGTCTGTTCCCATGCTACTGGATTCTACCCAATGCCTTAAACTAAAAACAGTCTGTCTGTCTAAACTAACAAGTGTTTCCAATCAGAATTCTTAGAAATATGGAACCAGCACAGATAGTTTACTAAATTAGAAATCCATCTAATTGCTTTCACACTTTAAAAACCTCCAGTGCACTTTGAAAAAAATCAGTTTAAAATTCTTGATTTCTCAGCAAATTAGTTTAATTTCTGACCTAGTTGGCTACATAAGACTGTGAAAGTTAACATTTGTAGGAAATGAATCAAATATCTTCTCCTATATTATTAAAAAAAATCTAAACTTTAGTTTCAACTGCAATACAAAATATCTAATATATGTGTATTTTTTTACAGCCACTGATGAAGAATCTTTCTTTATGTAGAGTTCTAGACTATGTAGTAGAGCATAATACCTCAGAAAATATTGCTTGGTCTGACTATATAGAAAATGACACTACTTACACTTTTTCATGGTCCGAAGATATACATTCTGTTAAAATTCTAGCAATCAACTCAATTGGAGCTTCCTCTGTGAATTTTATTTTAACTCTTTCACAACAAATAAGCACAGGTAAGAGCAACCGTTTTGGATTCTTGCTCCCACATAACCCTTTTAATGTATGACTATACGTTTAATGCAGAAGGTATTTGATCTTTTGGAAAGTCCTTCCAAAAGAATGTAGGATTTTCAACCAAAATTTTGAATAGATTCATTTTTATTACTCTCATGCTGGAATGCTGATACATGTACTATATATAAAATAGCCAAAATATATGGACAGTGTTCTTATTAAAATTATACAGTGATCTGTATTTTCCTCAGCCAAGGACTATATGTCACTTTTGGATGGCATGTAGAGGCCATCCAAAAGCGTGCAAAAGTGTCAATGGAGTCATCATACATTAAAACAATGGATGAAGTTGGGTGATAAAGTCATGCTCCTTTTTACCAAGCAATGCAGATATGCATTTTATTTGATTGCCCAATTGTACACATCATTTTGACATGTTTGATTCCTCTCTCTCCACTGATGCCCTCCAGAATAGTGGAGGAGGCAAGGCAAGATCTACATTTGATTTACAAAACTACATTTATATTTAATAAATATTAAATATTATTGACTATAGTCTCTAATTATGTTTTAATACCTATTTCATTACAAAAAATAATGAAGTATAGCTATTTGGACATGTGGCCAGGGAAATTAAAGTTGGGTTTCCTGATCTAAATTTTACAGTTTTTTTATCCAAATAAATTTACTTGTATTATACATGTGAATTAAACTTGTTTCTTCTAATTGGAAATCTAGTAATATTATTCTTTTCTTTACTTATGAAGTTTACAATATTTCTAATCTACAAAATAAAATGAAGTAATTTTGTATTTTTTTTAAGAGATTGGGTGAATTCTTTCTAATTTTCTATCTGATTACCATTTTTTTATTTGTTTCTTGATTGGTTTGAATTAGTAAACATTCTGCAGTCTCTGAATATCTACCCAATGAACAGCAGTTGTGTAATAATGTCCTGGACACTTTTACCTATGGATTATGTGGTTACATCCTTTGTAATTGAATGGACCAATCTAAATGGAGAAGAACAAATTAAATGGATAACAGTTCCTTCTAATGTTAGGAGGTATCATATATTTGGTGAGTTTGAATATGAAAACATATGCTTCTGTGTTTTTGTTGTTGTTGTTACAACAATACTTATTTTGGAAGAAAAGAATTACCTGAACATGAGATAAAACATAGAAGGATAAGGAATGTTGTGTGTATATTGATTTATTGAAAAACAATTAAAAATAAAAATTCCTAAAAAGTCATGTTAAGTTATATTTAATATAGTTGCATTGATTTTTTTAAAAAAATAATTAAAAAAAAACCTTCCTTCCTTAATTTTGTTGCAACATGATTTTGCAATATTGGGGAACCATATATAAGAAGTTAAGCAACTGCAGATTGCCCCAACTTAAATTATGGTAGATGAAGAAGAATATTATTGTTATATGTGGTAACATTTTATTTGTGATTTTGAGAAGCTATTTGTAGTTCTCCAATATAGGAAAGTGCCAGTTTTCTAAACTTATAAGTCTCAAACTGGTGCTTAACTTTTTTAGCTCTGACGTTTTATGTAGCTGTGTGTCTCTTCTATGAATCTGACCAACTGTGAGTTGCTGGTACTTGTCCATTAAACATTATTGTTTCATTCCAGATAACTTTGTACTCATTGAGAAATACAGATTTAGTTTATATCCGGTCATTAACGAAGGAGTCACAAAACCTGCGATAACAGAAGGATTTTCCAAAGGTGATTTTAGTGAACTGTTATCTTATAACTTCTTAAATAATGAGAATACAAATAATACTAGGACACACTTCATAACATAAATGTGTTTTAAAAACTTTTTTACAGAGTTTAACAGAATATATTTATATTCCAGTTATGTTTATATTCCCGTTAGTAAATAGAATATAAAACATTCTTGCAAAATATAAATGGTTTGAAAGGGATTTTGTTGTTAATGACGGCTGCCACTCAGACTACAAAGGATCATGTAAGTGACACATGTGAGAACAATCAAGTATTCATCATGAAAATTGCTATCTGTCATATCTAATATATGCTCTCCAGTTAAACTCACAAGATGGCACTAGCTAATTTTGTTGGGTGTTAGAGCAGCCAAAACCATATTAGTAAGTATACTGGACTGGACTGAATTCTCCACCTTGTTCCACTTGAAAAAAGAAACACCTATAGGCAGCAATAAAACAATAGATATTATCCATGTGTACAATTCATGGCTTAATCCTTGTAGGAAAACGCTTCTGTGGTAGCATTTTTTTAATTAAAAAGAGAGTGGCTAATTGTATTTAATGTTTCAAATATCACATGAAAAAAATACGGTAAACCTGATATTGGCTAATTTAATACAGAACCAAACAGGAAACAGGGTTTCTTCAATATTTTAAGAAACAATTCATATGGAAATGTGAACTCGTTCATGGGCAATAAATTCTCCTGATTATTTTGATTAAACTGAAGCGAAAATGCTGCTCTTTCAATCTGTTCTTCAAAATTGCCTAGTTGAATGCATATCTTCTCTGAGAAGAGGGGACCAAAATAGGATTTAAGTAGTACTGCCTTTTCTTTGTTATCTGTTCTGCCCTCCTCAATGAGCAGCTGGTATATCGATTGTTTTCTTTGTTACTCTGAACATCTCTAAATAAGCCCTTTTGCTAATCTCAGTACATTCTGCTCTTAGTTTTTCTGACATCTCTCTACCAATCTAGGTATACGTGTACTGTTTCTTGGTAATATGTCTCTCATTCTACCTCTTATATGTGCCTTTTTGGATTTTCAGTTTTTTCACTTTATGAACAACCCCATTGGTTTCTTCTGCTCCTTTCTTTTTATTTCCACATTTTAATTATTTCCAAATGTTCTTTTTAGAATCTCAGTTTTCAGGTATTCCCATTAATCTGTGCATACTTTTTCCATTTTTCTCCTACTACTGTGGAGTCCTATATATAATCATTAAAAGTTTTTACAATCAGATTTCTTGATGTCTAAGATATGTATTTCACTACACTATATTTTCTGCCCCAGCCCAGTATTCTTACTTTTGTTTACGTTGTATACTGAATCATTAGTTACATGTTAGTTAAAAACAAGACAAGGAATTTAATTCTCCCTTCTCTGAAGAAAAATATTCCAAGCTAATTCCTGGGTGTCTTGGAATGATTATTTTGTTTACCAACAGATGTCTGAACTATAAAGTGTCCATCGGTTATTCCTTCTCTCTTTGAAGACTCAAAAATTGAAAAACTTCATGTATATGAAAACGTCACTTATGATTAATATTATTAAGTTGTTTGTAGTAGGTTTTCATAATAACTCAGGTTTTATTCCTTTTTCCATTTATTATCCTTATATTTCAGTACCACAACCAAGTTCTTTGCACTGAATTTCTGTGGCAATGTGGATATTTCATGTTAATGTGGTCACAAAAAAAGTAATTGGAAGGATGTTTGTGCTCCATCAGTTGTACAATGTTTATGGGGAGTGTAAAAAGTATGCTTAGTTACATGATAAAGTGAAAGAAGAGGCTGTGCATGAGAAAAAGTTTATATAAGAGAATGACTGGCAAAAAAAAAAGAGAGAGAATGATAGAAATAATATAGAGAAAAAGAGTAGTGAAGAATATAGTCAACTAGAGCAAGTAATGGTTAAATTTAAAAGGAGTAGAGAAAAACAAAATACTTAAATTGGTGGCAATTTAAAAACTTGGAAGTGAAAATTGTTAAGAGTCTCCAGCAGAACTAATGGAATTAAAAGTGATTAAATGTTTTGGGATGAAAATAAAGTGAGGGAATGCTAGAAGCAGTCTAGAGATCTACATGGGAATGATAAGTAGGTATCAAAAGTGGAATGAAAACAAATTATATAAATGTACGGGTAGTCAAGTTATGACTGGTCGGTTAAAACAAACTTCAAAAAACTTATTTATTTATTTATTTATTTATTTATTTATTTATTTATTTATTGGTTCGATTTATATGCCGCCCTTCTCCGGAGACTCAGGGCAGCTTACAATGCGTTAAGCAATAGTCTTCATACTTCTGTATATACCTGCTTAGTAGGGCTTTCGGCCCTCCCAAGCGGTATTCTTTTTTATACAAAGTCAGCTTATTGCCCCCACAATCATTTTACCTACCTTGGAAGGATGGAAGGCTGAGTCAACCTTGAGCCTGGTGAGATTTGGACTCGCAGTAATTGCAGGCAGCTGGCAGCTAACTGCTACTTAACAGCACTTTAGACCGCTGCGCCACCAAGGCTCCTTATGAACTTTTGCCGAAGTAATGACTGCTGCACTTTCCCCCTCATGGTCATGTGATCACAATTGGGACTTTGGCAACCAGCTCACATTTATAACTGGTTGCATTAACCCATGGTTACGTGACTATGATTTGCAGTGGTTTGGGTTTTTTTGCCATTTTTCAGAAAAAAACATTGCAAATCAAAATGTTTGGTGGTAAAATGGTCATAAAATCAAGTTTGTCACATGGTTCCTTGACTTATGACTCTGATGACTTACAAATGAAATTGTGGTTGTAGGTAGAGAACTACTTGTAGTCAAAGAAAAAAAGTGATGAAAGAAAAAATTTAGTGAAAATATTGACAAATCATAAGAAGACAGAAATATTAAAATACCAAGGAAAGTAAAAATACAGATATGGTTTGCTTATGAAAGGGTTGTGTGACTTATTTAATATGTGTGAAGACTTAAATATGTGTGCATAATGATTGCAAGATTCTACTATGGCTCTTCTATAGAAAAGGCAAATTACCTAATTAAATGTTCCTGAGAAAGTGTTTAACTGAATTCTGATTTTGAAAGAGTGATGGTGTGACAATGAACAAAATGTGGGAAGTACAGTGTACCTTTATACTGGGCGGGGGAGTCTGCAGATCTGATGTTTGCTCTTCAGCAGGTTGTTGAAAAATGTATGAATGTGAAATAATTTATTTTTATGTTTGCTGATTTAGAGGAACCACATGATAACTTGAATTTGGCTTTGGTAATGAAATGTTTTGTGTGAAGATGATCACAAGCTGGCAGTTGCCGAATATATTAAGAACACTCTATGATGAAGCTATTATTATTATTTCATGTGACATAACAGAATACAAGCATTAATGCAGAAAAACTCACAAAATGTGTAAATATAAAATATCAGAACAATGAACCATTAAAAAACACACAAAACAAGTGATGAATAAAATTACAAATAAAATTAAATTATGTATGAACAGTTACTAAGGTGGTTAAATCTACAGGCGAGATATCTAGATCATTTAGCTACTGGTAGAGTCTCCTTGAGACGATATATTTCATGCAGGGATCCAGAGTACCTTCTGAGGAGGCATTCCATCACAATATAATGTAAAGTTTGCAGGACTTTATGATGAAACTAATGGATGACAATAAATGCTTGTGACATTAGAAGTATATTGGTTGTTTTCACACTACACTCAGGATTTGGAAGTTAATTAGAGGAGATGGGAGTAGGGGGGGCAGGGACGCCGCACCTGCTGTATTCAGGTGGTGGCGCATTCCCGCTCTCACTGCTCACCCTGCCTCCCTGGGGGTGCGAGAGCAGGGAACCCTGGACTCTGGCTGGTGTATGTGAATGCCAGGTCCGTAGCGAATAAGGCCCCCCTCGTACAAGATCTTATCGATGAGGAGGGCGCGGACCTGGCTTGCATTACGGAGTCCTGGTTGGGGCAGGAGGGGGGAATTCCTCTCTCTGATTTATGCCCCCCAGGCTTTCGTGTACTGCACCAGCCGCGATGCCAGGGAAGGGCTGGGGTGGCGGCGGTGGTTATTAGAGAAAGTCTTAGTCCTAGGGAGGTCACTGTCCCTCAGATAGGCGGGTGTGAGTCTCTCCTATTGAAGTGGGACCCTGGAGTTCAGTCAGGTTTGTTGGTCACATACCTATCTCCCAGTTGTGTGGCCACTGCCCTGCCCGCACCGCTCGATGTCTTGGCCGAAGTGGCAGTTGAACTCCCCAGCCTTTTGGTTGTGGGAGATTTCAATCTGCCATCGATTGGCGAGACATCTGAGACAGTTCGGGAGTTCATGGCCTCCATGGCGGCCATGGACCTGACTCAGGTGATTCAGGGCCCAACTCATAGGGGTGGACACACACTTGACCTGGTTTTTCTCTCTGGGCAGTGGATAAATGGCCGGGGTAGGTAAATAAATAAATAAATAAATAAAATTATAGCTATCCAGTCTCTTAACTCGTTATTTGGTCCCTGCTTCGGCAGAAAACACTAAAAAATGACTTAGCTAGTTTATAAATTTTATATATAATCTTTAGGGCAGATAGGAATAAAGCCTTAAACACAACAGTTGATTAACCAGTTAAACACAAAGAAATCAGAAACTTTTAATACATATCTGTGCTACAGGGTTTAAATTCTAATTTTTTTTTCATCCTTCACAGTTAATGGATTCTTGGCAAGTCTTGTGAAGGCCTTGGGAGGTAGCTGAAGGATGTTTATATAACAGTTCTCTTTATTGGCAGAGAAAACAGTTCTCCCTTACCAGTCTCAATTCATATAGTTGGGGATATATTTTTCTAAGTAGATGATATGTTTTATTCAGAATCCAAGGAATTTGAAACCAGTGGTATTTAACAGAAAAATCAATTAAATAATTGAAAGTTATATATACATAGAAAAAAACTAGAATAGGTTGATATGTTTGTATACTTGATAGAATCTGTGCTAAAGATTGAAAAATGGAGAAAATTTTAAAACATGATAATTCTGGTATAAACGTAGTGTATGGTCTATTTTGAGTAGTGATTATTTGTCAGAATAAAACACTTATATATAAAATACTTCTGCTCTATTTATGTTGAAGTGAGAGTTTGGTAGGTGAAAAGAAACTGAATGTTGAATACAAGAATAAGAAATATGTTAAACATTTAAAAGATAGTAATGAATAATTAGTAAAAAAAGAAATATACTGAGAGAGTTTGTGGTATAAAGAGCATGATTGACGATTTAGTTACAGAACAAAAATATGGAAGAAGATTAAGAGGAAAGAGAAGGCCAAGAAAATCATGGTTTCATGATACAGGTAGTTCTCTACTTACAGCCACAATTTCAAAAATTGAACTCAAAATTTCCATTGCTAAGCAAAGACAGTTGTTAAGTGAGTTTTGCCCCATTTTACATCCTTTCTTGCTACAGTTGTTAAATGATCTAGCTTCCACATTGACTTGTTAGAAGGTCACAGAAGGTGATAACATGATCTGGGGATATGTTCATAAATATGAACCAGTTGCCAAATGTCCGAATTTTGGTCACATGACTATGAGGATGATGCAATGGTTGTAAGTGTGAAAAAAGGTAATGAGTCAATTTTTCAAGTGCCATTGTAACTTTGAATAGGCACTAAATTAATGGTTGTAAATCAAGGATTAGCTGTACTCAAAATAAGAGAGATTAAGTTGGAAGAACAAAAGCCATGTATGAAGTGATATATAGAAATTGTAGAAGCAAGAATGATTGCAAGGGTAGAATTGTATGAACTGAATGAATACAGTGACTGATTTTGATGGAAACTAGATTTAACTAACTTTTTTTTTCTTATATCATGCATTTTGGCGTTTTATTTTTTATTCATGTTCTGTGCTTATTTGCTTAGTTTGAGCTGGAGTGTTTGCTTGTTTGATTGATTGATTGATTTATAGAGCCACTCATCTCAACAGTGTAATGGGTATGTATGTTTGTACAAGTTATTATTAACTTTTAATTCGAAATAATAATCCTGCCATGAAATACAGCTTCAGCCATAATTTTGGTTTTTTTCTTTTTTCGGTTCAACTATTTATATTGAAAATGCAAAACAAAACAAAAAAATCCACAACAACATTTGAGAAGGATTTATGGACACAACCAAACCTTCATAACAGATAGCAGCATAGTAATAGTTTACATTTAAGTATAGAATTTTTTTTATTTCACATAAACATTTTGCCAAGTATTATAGGACGTGATTGCTACTTACAATGGCAAAGCAGGAAATTGTATCTGCCTTAAATATTGTTTTTAGTTCATATAATATAATTTTGTATAATATACATTATTAATACTTATTAATAGGGTTAGGATGCATTTCATTTCTGCTGATATATGTTTGAAGCGCCTTTGAATGCTTAGCCCTATTAAGTATGCATTACTTAGAACAGGGTTGTCAAACTCAAGGCCCGCAGGCCAGATTCTGTCGCTGGGATGCTTAAATGTGGCCCATGGAAATATCAAAGGGCTGGCCCGCAGTGCCTCTGCTGGCTAAAATGGGCCACGTGCAGCCCCCTGCGGCCCAGTTTTTGCCAGCAGAGTGCTGCTGGAGGCTGGGGAAGCAGAAAATGGGCCACAAGGCTCGTTTTTGGCCTATTTTTGGTTGTTTTTGGCCCATTTTCAGCCAGTAGACTGCTGCAGGAGGCCGTGGAGGGCGATAATGAAATTACACAGTCATTGTCATGCTTCTTTAGCAGTATTTCCTGCTTGTTAATGATATTTAATGCTGCTTCTTTTGAGTACTCATACAGAGAATTGGGATGCATGGCTAATTTAGCCAATCAATGTATTTTTAACTATATATTCAAACTTACACATTTTTAAAAAATCTGATTAATTCAAACCGGTTAAGATTTAACTTTGAGTAAATAAGAATTCAATGTTTAAAGTCTTTTAATCTTATTCTGCATTAATTAAGCTGGAGGCCTGGTGAATTTAACTTTCCTGTTCTGTACATAGGATCTGACTTGAAAAATATAATCTAGAATACAAAGATATTCAGCCTAGAATAATCTTCACCCATTCAGTTTAATGTCACTGAAGTAATATTTTGCAAGTGTATTTGGAATGTAATGGTAATGACTTTTTAAAATAAATTATTTTTCCAGATAGGATTGAAAAGCAGCACGATGTGAACTTCTACGTGATTCTACCCTTAATGATTTCATGCTCATTTCTGCTTCTTGGAGCATTGTTGATTTTGCAGCATAGGTAAAGTTTTCTTTCATGATGCTTGTTGAATCTGTTCCTAGTAGGAGAATATTACATACAATAATCTATATGATCATCCATTTAAATGGATGAATAGAGAATAAATTAAATTTAAAAATTAAAATTATGAAATATTTACCAATTATTAGAGTTTGCATTGTAGTATTATTCTTTGCAGCAACCCAGAAGCTGTAATATTTTTTCTCATCATTATTTTGTTAGATTTATATCTTAGCTTCTATTAAAGACTATACAGTATACATAGCACTGCTTCTATAATTTTTCATATAGGAAAGAATGAGCAGAGAGAGAATGCCTAGTACAAAACCATAGAGTATATCTTCATAGCTGAGGGTAGCCTTGAACCAGGATCTCTCAGGTCCTGGTTCACAGCCTTAGACACTACACCTAATTTGCTTTTGCTTATCCTTTGAACCAAATCAATTCATTATCTGCATTTTTTCAGAATTAAGAAATTATTGTGGGTTGATGTCCCAAACCCGAAGAATTGTTCTTGGGCACAAGGAGTTAATTTCCAAAAGGTATGGAATTCTATTTTAATGCATTTCATTGTTATATTTTACTTGAAAACTGAGTCTGATTACTATCATTAAATTACTAATGGGTTTTCAGGTACACTGACAAAAATAAATCCACCTGAATAGGTATCCCTTCAGAGGTAGATATACATGCATATTCTAAAAATATCCTTCCAGTTTTTTTATTATTATTACTATTATAGAATACTATTATTATTATTACTATTATACAAGCTCCAGTGCTCAAAATAAAATGTAGAGATTCCATGTTCTGCTAGGACAATATGCCACAAGCATTCAACATTTCTATTGGAACCATGGATCTTCAATCATTAGAACATTGTCTAAGAAAACTGGTCATTCTGACAGAGCAGGTCAAAACGTCTACAAAGCATTGTGAATGTATCTAATCCACTTATCTCCATCTCATCCCTCTTTATAAATCTTTCTGTTGATTTCTTGATTCTTACGTTGTGCAAATGGCAGTTTTATTAAGTTTACCATTACATACTTTGTGAATAAAACTATAGAAGTTGAATTAAATGTTCTAATAGGTAGAAAGAACCATTTGGAAAAATGATTTATTAAAAATTAATATATTATTTTCAGTTTTCATTTCCATTAAACTTTACTTTCTCATCTTTATTGTTAATTTTATTTCATTTCATTTAAACAGAGAATGGACATTCTTTGAAGTCTAATCTTGGTCACTGCCCGCTGAACCATTGTTCCAGCTCCCAGACTTCCTTTACAAGTTGTTAGAAGAATTATCTATTTGAATTCAGAAGACAGAATTACTTTCCTATCATTTCATTGTCTGCTGACTTTGTTCGTACATAATAGCGTTGGAAATAATTTTGTACAAAGGTTATAATAATGGTATATCATTCTAAGAATACTATTTTTCAGCAAGGACAGGTTTTGTTGTGTAAGAGGAGCACTTGAGGATTCAAGGACAGTAGGTACTATGTTATATTCCTTAATACATTAAGTTCCCCTAGAAAACTCTGATTAAGTAACCTAAGATGAAAGAATAGTCCGGGCAAACTATCTTTATGACTGGGTTGAATGAATAAAGCTGGGATTACGTGGTAGCCGGGGAATGTTCCCAGCACCTGATTTAGAATGATAGATATAGATATAAAGCATCATGTCCTTAAAGCAAGCGATATCAAGGTGTCTTTAATTCTACATGTTTTCCTAAAACTATTTTATTTTCTAAATAAGCAGGTACTTATTATGGAGCATGTTTCTTATTTGGAGCATCATATGCTGAATCTTTATAAGCAATCATTTCATAACAGCCACATATATGTAACTAAAACATACTCAGTGTAGGTGCTTTTCCTGATTATGGGTAGTCCTCGACTTAACAATTCATTTAGTGACCTTCAAAGTTATAACGGCACTGAAAGAAGTGACTTATGACCATTTTCCACACTTATTGTTGCAACATCTCCAAGATCACATGATTTACATTCAAATGCTTGACAACTGGTTCACATTTATGATGGTTGCAGTGTCCCAGGGTCATGTGGCCATCTTTTGCGACCTTCTGAACCAAAGTCAATGGGGAAGTCAGATTCACTTAACAATCGTGTTACTAATTTAACAATTGCGGTGATTCACTTAACAAATGTGGCTAGAAAAGTTGTAAAATGGGACAAAACTCATTTAACAAATTTCTCACTTAGCAACATAAATTCTGGGCTCAATTGTGGTCGTAAATTAAGGACTACCTGTAATCTAATCTCTCAATTTCACATTTGCTGCACCAGTTTAAAAACCACTCTTGATCTCCATATTCTCACTGTTTCAACAGGATTGGAGAATTTAGCTTACTACTTTGCTTTTTTGCTTTTTAATTTCTTGTGAGAGGAAACACTTACCTCATCCCTCCTTCTGATTCCTGACAGAAATTAGTTACAAAGGGAATGCTGGCTTAATGATTTTGCAGCGAATAAACAAAGATGACATTGACAAGAGATTAATCAGATTTCCTCTCCAGCCCAGATGGAAAAATGCCTGCAAAGAACTGGAGGACTGCAGCAGCTTGGTCAGGGCAATACTTGTGTTTCATATTAGCAGAAGGAAAGACAGCTAGGCCTACAAATTGCTTCAGGGGGCTTTGGAAGTGAGAACAGTATGACTTTGATGTGCCTTTAGTTGAATTGTGCCAAGAAGCAGGGAAGAATAGAGTAAATGTTTTAGACAGACGAGACAATGAAAATTATTATCAGGAAAAACAACCCTATTTAATTTATTTTAAAGTGTGTGTAAATGGCCTTCTGAAATTTCTCCTATATTTGCAATCAGTGGGAGAATCATTTTATCAGATTTTCCAATAAAAGTGAAATTGTATAATAATGTCAGTGGCTCTATGCCAGTGGTCTCCAACCTTTCCAGCTCAGTGGACAAGCAGAGGCGGCGGAGGCTGCAGTGGCAGTGGGGAGAAGAGGGAATGGTTTTGTGTGGGCACATTGCTTTCAAAAATGCAGCGGCGAACAACACACTTGTCCACTGCTTCCATGCTCTGATTCCAAATGAGCTGTGGCCCAGCACTGGGCTGTGGCCTGGGGCATGGGGACTCCTGCTTTATGCAACATGACATATCTTGGTGTTTTCAGAAGGTCATGAACTTTCAGATTACTATTGGTGAAAGCTACCACAAAAAGTTACAAATTACACGATGGCATCCATTACAAAGTAGATTTCCCCCCCTAAAATGATTAGGTAAGGGGATAGAGGCCAAAAGACTGCATTATCTGCTCTAGTTAGTAGAAACTGTCTCTGAGATTACAGTCAGAATTGGGAAACAGGAAATTCAATAGAATAGAACTCCTACATAAAATTCTATTAAAATGCACTCAAGTCTCATATGTTAATGGCATCTTTTATATTCTATGAATTTTCAATCTTAATATAACAGAAAGTTTGAAAACTCAGAAATATTTAAGAGCTTATTTAGAAGGTACAAACTTATTCTGTCCAATTTAATGCTAAATGCAATACATACAAGGGCCATGTAGCTTTTGCTGAGATTATTCTACTACATTTAACATCATATTCAAATTATTTTTGAAATGAAAATTATGAACGTTCTGAAAGCTTTATTTCTGAACATTTTAGCTTTTATTTAGTCTAACTCCAATGATAATTTTATCTTCTGTTTTAGCTTGTTTACTTCATTAAAATGAATATAAATGAGCAGGATTTTCCTTGTCCTGATTTCTAATTTGTTCAGGCACTTGGAAAAGAGCTGTATATTTTGAAATAACTTCCGAAAGCTATATAAGAAAAATTAATAAAGTATTTATCAAAAGACAAGTATTCTTCCTAATTTGGACATAATATTTATTATCAAATGAATGATAGAAACTCAGAACAATCTTTTGTCCACTCTCACTTTTCAGCAAACTTGAGAACAGGGCCGGATTTAGATTGAAAGAGGCCCTAGGCTATTCCACTTATGAGGCCCTTTCACCAGTGGTGGGATTCAATTTTTTAACAACAGGTTCTGTGGGCGTGGCTTAGTTGGGGGTGTGGCTTGGCAATCATGTGACTGGGTGGGCGTGGCTAGCTGGTCACGTGACTGTGTAGGCGTGGGTAGCTCGTCATGTGACCAGGTGGGCGTGGCTATGTGCATAGACTTTTTTCAGAGGGCTGAAAAAAGTCATTTCTGACTGGGCCTCGCACTTTTGACTGGTCCTCACACTTATGACCATCCTCACATTTATGCCCGTGCAGCTTTCTTAACAACCATGTCACTCATTTCACAACTGCTTTCTTCACCATGGTGACAAGATAGGGCAAAAACGTAAAATGTGAGGACAGTCGTAAGTTCGAGGACTGGTCAAAAGTGCGAGGACCAGTCAGAAATAACTTTTTCAGCTCTCTGAGTAGTCCATATGCACAAAAGGACTACCCAGAGGGCTGAAAAAAGTCATTTCTGACTGGGCCTCGCACTTTTGACCGGTCCTCACACTTATGACCATCCTCACATTTATGCCTGTGCAGCTTTCTTAACAACCATGTCACTCATTTCACAACTGCTTTTCTTCACCATGGTGACAAGATAGGGCAAAAACGTAAAATGTGAGGAGTCAGTCGTAAGTTCGAAGGACTGGTCAAAAGTGCGAGGACCAGTCAGAAATAACTTTTTCAGCCCTCTGTGTAGTCCATATGCATAAAAGGATACAGCAATAGAGAGGGATGAAGGAAGGGAAGGGAAATTAGAGTAGGAGAGAGAGGGAGGAAGGGAGGAGGAGAAGGAGAAAGGAAGAGGAAGTAGGGAGGAGAAGAAGAGGGGGAGGAAGAGAAAGTAAGAAGGAAAGAAAAGAGAGGTGGTAGGTTTGAGGAGAAAGATTGCTGTACAATAAAAAAGATGAAAGGGAAGAAAGCCAACCCCAAACAAATATAAAGATATTAAGATAAAGAATGAATTGTTAAACTTTAAAGAATAAAAGAGAACAAATATGAATAAATAACAATAATTAGAAACACACATACAAACATACAATGTATTTTCTTTGAACAGAGTATTTGTCCGGTTCACAAATTTAAACAGTGTTTAGTCATTTCAATTAAATTTACAATTTCTATATTTCCTTTTTGCCATATTTATTCCTCATCTATTTTTGTAAAAAACCAATATTACCCTCCATCCTCATCTCTAATCTTAATCAAATTCAATTTTTCCCTTCTATTCTATATTATACCCCTTCCCATTGTCATCTATTTTTATATCCATCCTCACATTGGTTAATTATGTAATATTAGTTGTTTAATATAAATTCAACATTTTAATATAAATCAATTAGTTATATAACTACCTTTTTTGTATATTAATCAATATGAACATGAATATTCCAATTATTTCCATGCAATCCAATTTCTTACAAATCCATTAATTATATTTACCAATAATAATAAACCAAATAATTTCCCCCATATATTCCTCCAAACCACAACTTAACCATTTTTCCTTTCAGAAATATACAATTAATAGTATCTCAATTATTACAATTCCCTAGTTAAATAGAGCTTTTTTTTCTTTTGTGTTTTAAAATCCTGAACTCTTCTCTTTTTCCCTAAATTTCCCATTGTTTGTACCTACCTTTTTTGGTGAGGAAAAAGAAAAGAATTCTGCCTGCCTAATTTTCCAACCTTGCAGCAACAGCAAAGCAGTTTCACTTTTGTTTCTCAGTATAGCTAGGGGGAAAAAAATCAGCACTCTTTGGAAGGAAGCAAAACAGCGGAGACAAATCAGCTGAGAGCCGGGAGGCCAATTAGCCTATGCTGAAGCTCCGGGGGCCAATAACATTACAAAAAAAACACCGAACCCTTTGTTAAATTGCTGGCTCCCCCGCCCCTCGCCCACCACTATTTATTGGCAATAAATAGTGGTGCGGAGGGGCGGGGCAAGCCAGCAATTTAACAAAGGGTTCGGCTGCACCACTGGCTCTAGGGCGGCCCTTTGAAGCCCAGAGGCAAGAATTTGAAGTTTTTTTTTCCTCTAGCCATCGGAGGCAGCAATAGATTGGGAGTGGGCGGGGTAAACGAACGGCTGGCGATCCAACAGAGCAGAGAGAGTGAGGGTGAGTGAAGGCGTGGAAGCTGCTTTCTCCATCCTGCTTTCTCCATCCGGAGCCGGTGGGGAACCACGTGGCAGCCCACGTGGATCCCAGGCAACGGAACTCAGGCTAGGGAAGGGGTGGGCAATTGTGGCTCTTTTACAACCGGTGGCCTTCAACTCCCAGAATGCCTGAGACAGCCAAGCTGTCTCAGGAATTCTGGAAGTTGAAGTCCACCGGTTGTAAAAGAGCCACAATTGCCTACCCCTGGCTACGGTAGGCTGGCGCCGCGCGGGTGGGAGGCGAGGGGCGGGCGAGCCAGCAATTTAACAAAGGGTTCGGCCGAGCCACCTAGAACCCCCAGAATCCCACCACTGTGTAGGCCCCTCTTGATCTTGAGGCCCTAGGCTGAAGCCTAGTTAGCCTATAGGAAAATCTGGCCCTGCTTGAGAAACACAAGCAGGCAGACCACCAGCAAATCATAGGGAGTAAGAAATCTATCCTATTTTTAGGAGAAAAAAAATGAATAGATAAAAAACCTAGTCTGGATATTATAATTACAAACAATAAAAAAAATGCAGCATAAGCAAGAATGACAGAAATTATTCCTTGATAAATATTTGACAAGCTCAGGGGGATAGTTTCTGGAATTTTCTCAACACCTTTAGCAGCAGTGGCCATAAGTATTTGTATGTGTTCTGTGTAATAAAGTATTGTGTGTGTGTTTGTGTATGTGCACTTTCTTCTCAGAAACTAATCAGGATATGTGCACACCACTGTTGTATGCATGGGACAAGGGGTTGAATGAAGAAGTTTCACAAATTGTTTTCTATGGAACCCTAAACTCTGGAACAATCTGATGGGATTTCATGAGAAACTAAGTGCAAAAGGGAAAAGACATCACTCAAACACAATGAATTTACTATCATGAGCTTTGCTTCTTGATTAGAGATTCCATTAATTTCTTTAGAAAGAAATTACAGGTTCTGTAAAAAAGGTTTGAAAATATTGCACCAAAGCATCTCTGATTGATCATGCCTGGAGCCTCTTTAGCCCTATAGCAAAAAGTTTATCACCTCACATGGCTGCCTGTTTCATGGGCTGACAGTTTATAAAATTAGGAAGTTCCTCCTAATGTCTGGCTGAACCTACTTACTTGCATTTTAATCCATTAGTTCTCATCCTGACCTTTGGAGCAATAGAGAATAACTCTGTTCCTTCCTCTATGTGACAACTCTTCAGATATTTGAAGACTGATTTAATATCCACTCATCAGCTGTGTACAGGTCAAACATACCCTAGCATTTCTTCATAAAGCTTTATTTTAGATCCCTTACTATCTCAGCCTTTCTATGAATTTAATTTGTCACTGTTCTCTCTGAACCGTGGAGCCTAGAACATGACACCGTATTCAGGTAGGGTATCTCGATATGTATGTGAATATGTGTGCAGTGGGAAGGAAGGGACAGGCCACACACATCCTCTTCTGCGTTGTATGACCAAAAGGAGGATCTTAGGGTGAAGTGCTGGCCAGTATTCTGACCTGCCTTTCAAAATGAGATTCATTGGAAAATTTTCTGGAATCCTTGTCTCCATAATCCATCTTCCATCTCATTCTTTATCTGGCTAAATTTTCCCTGCTGCAAATTTGATTTCATTCTGTTCTATTTACAGAGAATTATCCTGTTGACAGTCACAAAGTTCTTAACCTCTTTTACGTAAGAAATAAAAATAGTTTATTTTCTTAGTATTTGTTGCCCTGTGTATGTTTGCATGTGCCACATACACATATACACACATGCTATAGTTTGTGTGTATGTCTATTTCAGACATATAAATAGAATCTTATAGATTCTTTTGGCTGTTTCTTGCAAATATATTTCAGTTGTCACGTCATAAATGATTCCACATTCAAGTGTCAATAGCAGGTAAACTTAAACCTATTCTGTAATCATAGTATTATATTTTATCAGATAATAATTTGTCTAACACATAAGGTTTTCATTAATTCATTATCTCCTACCCAACAGAATATTGGGATCAAATTCTGCAAAGGAGGCCAGCGTTGTGTCTGTCTGTCCATCCTAACTGAAAACAGCACAGAACAGGACTTACATATGAATAAATATAAACACCCCTCTTCATTACAATGTTGTAATAGAATACTGTATGTCATACCTCAGCCACATTAGCTGTTGGCCACCCTCAAAAACTCTCAGAATCCAAGGTATTTCTGAAAGTCTTACATTGTAGGCCCTCTTCACCCATTTCAGCTGTTATCAAAACTTTGTTAATCCTCCCTTTCTTTTTCTCTCTCTCATTGTGCACTGCATATTTTAGCAGCATATCTATGCAGGGTTGTGACAAACAGAATATTAAAGACACTCCATGTGGGCAGTGTGCAAATTCCGTGCTGTTAACTGAACATCATTTTTCAAAGATCCATGAGTATCCATTAAAGCTTTTGCCAAAACCTTGGCAGTTAGGCTGAACTCTTTCTAGTTGGCCAGTAAAGGAACAAAGAAATCAGTATCCAGCCGGCCACCCATTTCCCCCACATTAATTTCCTCACACAGGTTTGTGGCAAAGAAAAGTAGATACCTGGTATTGTTGCAAGAGCCCCAGAACCTTATACAAGGGCACTATGTTGCTTTAGAGACATTGTAAACGGGGAGGGGAGAACAAAGAACTTGAAATGGAGCACTGATAGAAATTCTTATGAATGAAAAAGCTACCTCCAAGCATTCTAGAACTCAATTTAAATTGCAATGATTCCCTTGATTACCCAATGATGCTAACATAACTTGGAAACAAAGATGTGCATTGCCACTACAGAAGCTGCATCAAATCCTCATAGGCCTTCTCCATCTCAATGTATGCTGATACTGATTTGTATTAGGTCACTAGGCACTAACTTTCCAGCAACAAAAAAAATATGAAAGGTCAGCTCCATAATACATTTTAAATAAAGTTCAATAAAGCTAAACTAAGAAATTGCCCAGAAAAATGTTTTTTAGGGAATGGTGACAGAAGCAATATTTCCAAGATGCAAAACATCTCCCAATTTTGGAGATCTCCTTAACCACTCACAAAGAAAGGCAGAAAATTTTGCCAGCAGTTGAACTGAACAAGAGTTTAATAGGACAATAAAGAGTATCTTTGAACTTAGGGAATATCACCCTATATTGTTGATGTAGTCTACATGAGAAATACACTTAACTTCCTTCTGGATGTTGGAGAGGAATAGCAAAACCTGATAAACACTTGTACTGCATATCAATGAGTGATGATTTCTGGAGACACAGCTGTACCATAGAATATAAACTCTGGCCAGAATAAAATATTTTCAGCTGTTTTATTGACAGGTAAGTGTGCATAGAATTGCAGGTTTGCTTTGTAGTTATTTTGATTATGACTTATTTTATTTATCAATTATTTTTAGAGCCACTGTATTCTTAATTTCCTCTTTATTGAAAGGAAGATGAATTATATCCATAATTCTAATCGAGAAGACAGAAAACAGATGCCTCTAAAACTAGGGTTTAAACAATTACTTTAAAGCATATAAAACTTAAATATCTAAAATGGCATATTTAAAACTTGCAGATATATCTTTGTTTACTTTAACGTGTTTGCCTTATGTTAATGCACTTTATTTAATCTGAACTATATAGGTGAAGACATCCAGATTCAATACCATAATTTGGTTCCCCTCCCAAAAAGAGATTATTTCAAAAATGTAATTCATCTTGTTTTGAAAATGAAGAACCAGATTCAAATATAATAAAATATTTATTTGCTTAATTTTTCTTATTCTTGTATTCTTTTCAGTATGAACAATTAACTGATAAATGAGCTTTACAATGTGTCTTGTTTTTTTAGCCTGAAACCTTTGAGCATCTCTTTCTCAAGCATCCTGAAGCATTGTCATTTGGTCCGCTACTTCTGGAATCAGAAATAGTATTGGAAGATATCAGTATTGATAAAGCAATGAAACATGAAGATAAACAAGAGTTACTAGCAGTTGACTCACTGTTTTCTACCATTCAGGACTTTGAGCATGACTCAATTTGCTCTAGTGGTCATTTCAATAGCGACAGTCTCTCTGAGAATGTCCATGATGCTAAAAATAAAAGAGGCATGTCAGAACAATGTAATGTAAAATATGCAACTATTATAAGTGGCTCCATGTCAAGTGGGCTTTATGAGCCTCCAAAGGATTCAAGTAGTCCTTTTGACAGAAGTTTTGTGAACCTTAAGTCTTCAGTTCCAGCTTCTTTCTCTAGCATTTCTTGGGCAGTAGGAAATCAAGCATTTTTGATATTACCTGAATATTTTCAAGACCCTCCCAGAAAAACTCACTCTCTGTCTGTTGTTTCCTCTGAAGGTTTCTCAGAATCTTCAGAACAGGATAAAACTTTCACTGAAGGTGACAGTCCAGAGAGAAGTTTGTTCTATTTAGGCATGGGCCCACTCAAAAATAACGAAAATGATATATTTTTAACAGAAAATTCAAATGTGGCACCATATAACTTTCATACCAATACTCTCATTAGAAGCATGAGGATTTCTCAAAATGTAACAGCTGATCTAAATCCTTTTATCTGTAACTGTGAGAGACCCCTTCAAACTTTCATACCATATATGCCACAGTTTCAAACATTGACAGTTAAAATACAAGAGACAGCTAGTAGCAAAGCTTAATTAATCCATACGTCTAATTTATTTTGATTATAATGTTGTATGTCCAACAAGTTTTCTTCATGCAGAACATTTTGGCAAATTCTGTATTTTGCAAGTGAATAGCTAGATGTTCAAGTTTTATTAATAATCCATATTATTTAATTCCCAAGTAGTGCAATATTGTGTTTTCCTGAAGGAGAACAACCAGACAGTTTTAATATATGCTTGATTATCTGGAAAGGCAAAGTAAATTCTATCTTTCCAAATAAGAAGGTTCTTTTTTCCATAGTTAACTTGCACTTGTGAATAAACTGCTGTTGTATTGTCAAATTTCTGCAATTAATTGAATGATAATTGAGCTTCAGCAATATTCTCAGGATGATGTCTGTACTATTTTCTGATTGAGGCTTCAATGAAAGCTTGAAATAACCAAACTTGTGCCAGCATGTCTTAAGTCTCTAATCTTGCAAGTTTAATATCAGTGTATTATTCTCTACCGACATAGGAACCATAGCAGGTCAATGGGCATGGCTACAATTATCCTATTACATAGAGGGAAACCTTTTCCAATACATGAATACTGATACAGGTAATATATTTATGCAGCCCTTGAATATACTCTTTATGAATGAAACTGCACATGTTCACCCTTTGACACAGTATTGTATCTCAGATTTTTATTTGCAAGAGAATGAACAGTATTATCTTCAGAACCAAATTTAGAAAGTTGGCATGCTTTTATTCATGATTTGCATAAAAAATGAACAGTGTTTGTCCATGTACAGTTTTGTGACAGCTTCTAGATATTTCCTAAGTAATTTTCCATCATAAATTTTGTTAGAAATGTTTCTGATATAAAATTAATTGTTCTAATTATATTTTAACTGTTAAATAAACAATAATAGCAAAGTTTCTGAGTATTAGATGATGGACAAAGGAACTGATGTAGAAGAGTTCTAATCTTGAATGCATTAAATTGGAGATTTGTGATATGTATTTCTTTTATAGATTAATACTGCTGAAAAATATTTGAAACAATCAACTGTATATAAATGGTTAAAAATGTGCTTGAATCACTGGTTTAAAAAGTATGATAGGTAAAACTGAATGTGGTCAAACTAAGATGAAACAGAATATATCTATTTTGCATTATATCTTACTTAACAGATTCTGTTAAGTGAGTAACAGATACATAATTTGCATAAATCCTTTAACTTTAACTTTTGGTTTTCCCCAGAAAAAAAACCCATAAAAAACATTTAGTAGAGAAAAATATTTTTGTCACTTCTTTTTTATGTTTTACAGTTTGGGAAATCCAAATTCAAACTTATTTTAAAGCTTTTTGTTCTATAATAATAATTAGAATCAGATTAAAATGATGATTTACATACAAAATGAACATTCCAAATTAAACAAGAACAACAATTATGAATTATTTAGTGTATACTATAAGCAGGAGGAGGAGGAGGAGGAAAAAATAATACTCAGATACATTTCCTAATGTTATGCAAACTCCTGGAGAATTATCTCTTTTCCTTTCTCAGCTTTAACCATCAACGTCCAGTGCAAGTTTGCTTTTACAAAGGCTGAACAGATTGCTATTATCTATAATAAATAAGTATTATCTATCCTGGAAAAGCTGTGTATCAATAGCCAATGTCATGTATTTGAATGTATAAATATGTTTTTGATGATGTAATCTGGATAAATTTAGCTATATGCTATGTGTTATGCCATAGCAACTATTGTGGAGTCTTTTGATTGTAATTGTACTATTTGCTAGTAGCACTTTAAATGTTCTAACTGCTGTTGTCTCTGAATTCTTAATACTGTGCCTTATGATGTGTTTGTTTGCCAACTTCATTGTAGTATTTTGAAACCTAGCTTACAATAATGTAGGCACCAGTTAATGAAGTGTACAGTACATATACCATGAAATTTATGGTATAACTGTTTATGCTATGATAAACCAGAACCCTATTTCTGTAAGATGTATAAACTATTCATTCAGTTACAATCCATTCATCTGAGTATGTTCTCCTTCTATGTGCTTCTGAAATATTCTTAAAAGTATTTAGATAAGCTTACAGTAGTTTTGCAAGGAGTCTGTTTATCAGAAAGATGCAATATAGCAAGCTAGATTGTCATAGGTACAGTAGCAACTGGATAAATTAATGCTGGTTATGTGAAAATGGCAAGCAATTTTTATTTAAATAAAATTTCTATGAGTGTCCATTGATCCCAAGGACAATGCACTTGATCCAAAGGATAGGATAGTCTCAATAATAGGTTACTGATTTATAGTATTTAGCTGCATGCTTATTCAAATTTAGCCTAGATATCCACAGAACATAATACAGGGTGGTTCAGGAAAGTGCAGATATTGACTCTTCACTATAGAAGTGAAATGTGCTTCTATATTACTGTTTTATACTTTTAACATAACAGAGGAATACTATTAAATTCATAGAGGATAATCCATTAACTGTATTTAAATAGATATATGGAATAATAAAGTGATAGTGTCATACAGTTGAAGGAAGCTACTTAGTTTGTCCATCAGATAGTAATCTGCCCAGATCAAGAATCCAAAGCACTGATTAATATCTGAGGACCCAGATTGTTGGGGGCAATATGCTGACTTTGTAAACCGCTTAGAGAGGGCTGTAAAGTACTATGAAGCAGTATATAAGTCTAAGTGCTATTGCTATTCCTAATATCTATCTAATCTCTGCTAGCATTGCTGAAGAAATTGGTTCCAATGCAGAATTATTCTTACTGCTAGGAAGGTTTCCATAATATTCAGCTGGAATTTGTGTTCTTGTTAATTTTAATTCATTGTCCCATATCCTGAATTCTGGAATGAAGTAAACATTTAGGTATTAAAGAGTGCTACCACATTCAGTTACATTTACTTAAAGCTGAATACATACAATCTTTCTCTGTCTCCCTTCCCCTCAGACTTAGTTTCTAGTTTCCTAAAGATACTTCATGTCATCAAGGCACCTTGACATAAGACAAAACTTTTGTAGCTGACTCTACAGTCTATTGATAAATCACTTTGTTCTAATAGTGTTTATTCTATTTTAGAGCTTCCCAAAGCTTAAGCAAAAACCTTTCCCAGCCTTTAATTTAGCCAAAGTACGCTGGGGATAAGATCTGAAAAAATGTCCCACTTGTTAAACAGAACAACACTGATATTTTCTCTTTGGCACTTAAAACACAAAACAACACTTCTGAGACTAGCAAGAAATAGGAAAAATGAAACATATTTCATCAAATATGAAATCCCAAACTAAGAGCGTTATCCATATGATTTCTTAAAGATAGGCCACTGCAGCTTTAGTGTACAGCCTTTCCTTACAAGATCTTGGTTGATTCTGGAAAAAACTAAGAGGGATGGATCTGCTAGCATTTGGTTGAGGGACTGCATTGCTTAGTAACAGAAATTCCAGTCCCAATTTCCTTTGTAATCTGAAGACTATCTGTAATAGGACTTTAGGCTAGAGTGGTACATTGAAAAATATTCTGGAAGACAGCATTGAGAAGCTACTTCCAAATTCTCAGCAAGAAAACTAGATGTCTTCATGCAGCCTCTCAGATCTTGGGCAAGATCTGAAAGAAATATTATTCCTCTATTTCCACACTTTTACAAATAAATTCATATTATCTCATAGGTCCATTATTAGTTGCAAATGGTTTCCCCCCCTTCTGTTTAACCATGTTTGATTTCGGAGGCTGTCTGGACAAGTCCCTGCAGTTTTCTTGGCAGGTTTTTCAGCAATAGTTTATCATTGCTTCTTTCCTAGGACTGAGAGAGTGACTGGCCCCGAGATCACTAATTGGCTTTCTGTCTAAGATGGAACTAGAATTCACAGACTCCCACTTTCTACTCTGATGTCTTAACTACTACACCAGATCCACTCTCTGCTAATGTTTAAGAGAACTTAATCACTAGTCTTCTCTTTCACATAATGCTTCTAAATTTAACAGGGATATACTCCCTGTCCTACAAACACACATGCATACAGTGTGTGAGTGTGTGTCTGTGTGTGCTTGTGTATCCTATTCACAGAAATTAACCTAAGAGCTCTATGAATTAGTTGTCCAATGTCTGGTTAATTACATATTTATGTTTGGGAAAGAATCTTTGTGCAGATTAGTAAACTAATGATCCTTGAAAACAGCACCTTTACAATAGCAAATAGCTTGGCTAATTTGAGCCAACAGGTGCTATTCTTTTTTCATTGGTACAGCACACTGATTTCACAACAAAACCAGCAAACTGATATTATTATTATTATTATTATTATTATTATTATTATTATTATTATTATTTTTACATGATACAAATAGACCAGATGCTGATAAAATGGTTCATACTCATTTTGGGCTATATTTACTTTGTCCAGCTCACCCAGTATAAAGAATATACTGATTAATGCAATTAGAAATGATGGCAATACCATTGTCAATGGTATTCATGGAACAGTAGCTATACTGCTGAGTGCAGAAGAGATAGGTTTTTATGATTTTGGTAGTATAGTTGTCTTATTTGTGGGGTGATACAGTATATCTACATTATGCTTGAATATACAGTATATATAGGTGGAATTCATGTTCATAATAATTTCTGCTATCTTCAAAAACAGAGCTCAGTTTGAATTTATATGTGCTTTTGAATTCACGGGTGATATTTAATATTAACGGGTCATTTGAAAAAGCTTTTTCTCTGGATGAATTTAATACATACTATTTTTCAAACTACGAATAACATTTGTATCAAGGGTGGCTCTGCTTTTTATATCCTATATATGTCCAAAGAATTATTACCTCTCACATTATGCTATTTGATTAGTCTTAGTATTTGAATTTGAATGAAAAATGGGTTTTGAACTTTATTCCTGCCAAATGTTGGCTTTAGGATTTCAACCATAATTTCTTAACTGTTCAAACACAATTTGAGTTCATGTTTTAAAATACTTGCCAAAGTAATTTTGTATCTACTTTTGTGAATAAAAGGTTCACTGTTGAAGTTGCATTGCAACTGTATTTTGTAATCTTTTGTGCATGGGATCTTTGTTTGAATGTTTTCAGAGAAATGTAATTTGAGAATTACAAAAAAGAACAGGAGCCAATAAATATATTGAATTAGCACATGGTAGAATAGGGGAACATAATGCCCTGGTTAAAGCTGAATTGCTATGTTGCTCTTCAAGACCGTGTTTCTAAGTGGTAATCACCAAATTGTTGGAATATGATTCATAGCATATTTATGAAACTGGAGTTGACAAATAGGATTAGGCCAATCCTATTCGTCAACGGCCAAGAGAATAAGAGACACAAGAAGGGAAATAATATAACATTGTACCAAATCCTTAGAAATTATGCTAGGCTAGGGCATTGTTTGCAGAATCTTGCTTAATTTTGAACTAAGAAGTGAGATATAACAGCTTGTCACTTATTTGTTCTCAGAAGTGACTTTCCAAGTATTGTTGAATCACAACATTCTAAGGCCATAATTTGTGGATCCTTTGGCTGAATTTCCAGCCCTGCCCAACATGGGAAAAGCCTTCAGTTTTTTCACTGATTACTTCATACATTGCATTTTTTATTTCCCATTAAACCATTAATAGAACGAACTTTAATTTTAAAAAAATATTTGAGTTTACTAGTCAATCATATCAATTGTTAGGTGGCAACAAAGAGTGACACTTTTTGCCTGACTTAAGTGCCATTTAATTGCCATCCAGATTTTTGTATCTGAAACACAATCAGGGAATAAATCCTACTGAACAGGGATCTGAGGAAGAGCTTTCACTATAATGATTGGTGTGGAAGCTATAAATGACCCTAAGAACAGCATGTAGACATGTGCTTGAGAAAGGGATAGTATCCCATACTCACATCAGGGATTTGCTCAAAATTCAGATGTTGAAATTGAATCATGAGAAAACTCAAAATCACTTGGGCATTGTGCTTTCATCATCAAAAGACAAACATATAGGACACTTTTTGAGTCATTTGGTGGTGAAAAAAAGCTATGTCCCCATAGACACATTTTTCCTTTTATATGCTCTGAAGCTGACATTCAAAACAATTTCCAGGAATAAGCTTAGTTTAATGTTAAGCTCTATTTTTCCTGGAAAGTTCTGGATATTCAGCCTGATGCTTCTGTAAATGAAAGGGCTCCTTTCATTCACAGAAACCTGGAATCCAGTGGAGGATTCAGTCCCATAGAGCGATGGTTGAAGGAATATAGGAATATGGAGGGAAGGAAGGAATGAATTCCTTCACTGCCAGC